TCATGCGGAAGTGGCTTAAGCTTCTTAGTGCAGTGCTTTAACCCGCTGCGCCACCAGGGAGGGCCCTCGGTATGTATTCTTACACTTATGCTATATCTCAGTTGAGCCGGGCCATGTTCAGTTCTGCGACTGGTAGATTCCATATTCCACAGTACAGTGGCACAGGTGCATCCTGCTCATGGAATAGCCTTTCTGTAAGAAAAATCATGATTTAGTGCTTTTACATTACATTCGCTCTTTTTAGGTGGGACCACATGAAATTGTTGTTTTTGTCTTTCAAGATGGTTGATACTAGCAACCATTTGACTTATCTGATCCTACTTAATATATTACAACCAAACATATTTCCTTTCCTTGAAATTGAGAAACAATTACTGTTCAAATCTTATCTCCAGTTCTTTCCCCAGATGTAACTAGCTTAAAAAAAAAAAAATCTATCCACTGTGACCTGACTTTATACATGACCCAGAAGCAGGAAGGACAGAGCACAGGGGTAAAGGGGGCTTTGCACGTCACCTTCCTTTCCTTAGTTATTGTGCAGGCTGCCGTTAATTCACAGCCAACAGACGATAATTTGCTTATTTCATCCTCCTTTTTACACTAATTAGGAGAACAAGTGATGAGGGTAGCTGTAAATATTTTGGTTTGGTACTTGCGGAAAAAAAGCAAACACTGACAACTAGTACTTATAAAAAGAAGAATCTAGTTTTACTAGAGACAGACAGCTGTAAAAGGAGTGAAGCTGGTTGTAAATTCAAGTAAATGTCAGGGAGACCGCTTGCCTTTGGCTGTTACAGTGGAGGGGCAGTGACTGGGCAAGCTCAATGCCTGGGAGACGGGTGTTGAGGTCCTGATGTTCATCCATCAAATTAGAGTTTTAGTTCTGAATCACATTTAATAAGATTAAATTACCAAAACTAATGTAGTGATATCCCTATTTATGTATAATATTTTAAAAATTAAATGTGAAAAATAGAAAAAAAATTAAGTCATATATATTTATTATTTGTAGGAGAGAAGTATGGCTATCTTTCACTTCCAAAGTCAATGGTAAGTAGAACAACTTTGTACATTTCAGACTGCTTTTATTCAGAATTCAAATTATGATTTTTTATCTATTGCTACCCATCTCCCATAAGGGGCATTTCAGAAAAAGTTCTGATATTAAATGTTGGTTCTTACAGGTTATTGAGTGGTGACGTAAATGTAGGCCACACTGATTATTCGTTTTGGGTTTGGGAAGTTGAAGCAATGGGTGACATTTTGTATTTAGTAAGCAGTTATGGTTTTACATCAGAAGTCTTTTTATTCTCCATATTAGTTGTCTAACACATAAGGTCATGTTAGACTCATTTTCTTCAGAACAAGAACTTTCAAATGCTACGTTGAAAATATGCCACATGAAGGAGGAAGATATGACATATTAGTTGTGCATTGGTTCTAGCATCCTTTTTGTGAATGAAAATCAAAATCTGATGCTGCTTACACTTAAGGACTTGAAATACCTTTCTAAAACTGCAACTGACGCATCTGACTGTAGTTCCAACAGTGTCCACGGGATGGCAGGCTGGATCACCTTATGAAGATGATTTATGTACTTTTCCAGGCAGTTCCTTTTCAGTTTTTTAAAAAAATACTTTTGTAATAATAACTTGTAAAAATTAAAATAATGAAAACATAACTAAATTTAAAATAATAATATGGGATATAAATAATCTAAATAAAATGAGACCTCACGTGTGTTCGTTCTTAAATGTTTGATATAGTTTACTACTAGGCTAAAGAAGATGTTGAGGCATTTTAGTATGATGATACCAGGAGGAAAAGTTCTGTAAATCATTGATCCCGTCTGTTGAGTTTTAATGAGTGTTAGAGGCGACTTCTGTTTGTATAATTCCCCTATATATATATGATCTATATATATATATTTTTTTTCTTGTCCTTTACTTTCTATTTCTTCTATAGTAAACAGCATTAGAAAAATCTCAAAGAGGTTGTGTTAAATGAGCAAATATAATCTGTGGGATAGAAAGAAAGGGAAACGCCAAGTCTGTCCTTCAGTGAAACTGGTTGTGATAATAGTAAGGATAAGGACAAGGAGATGCGTGTAAACATCCAAAGGATTGGTGATGATCTGTGTTTTAGGCTAAGCACCTGAGTGTGATGCTTTATTATAATTTACACTGTATGTTCATATATGAGTGTGTACTCCCTTAAAAAATTTTAAAAGGTTGAATCCTAGAAATATTTAAAAAATTTTAAATTAATTTTAAGAAAAAGTCTCCCTGAATCTCAGGCCCCTGCGTCTCAGGCCCCTTCATGTCCATTTGGCCCTATAGGGAGATCCTGCCATATCTTGGAGTGGGGGGATGCCCACCGTGGGTCCTGTCTCCACAGACCTTCGCAATATTGCTATGGTAGTGGTTTCTGTTTCTAAGTTACTAGGCATCTGAGGGCCAGCCCAGTAACCTGACTACATCGTACATTGTTTTCTTCTCTCCGAGGGAAGTACATTCTGAGTTCCAAATAGCCTACATTAGAAACAAGCTTGCTGCTTCAGAAGGAGAGGCTCATCAAATATGCTGGCTCAAATACTAAATCCTAAATTCTAAGTATAGTGTTAGTATATTCTGGAGTACAGGTATTGGGATGTCAGTGAGACTAGGGGGCTGAAATTTACCCTCAAAGGACAAATTGGTGAAAGGAATTGAACTTCAGAGTCTTGATGTCAGGTACCTATGGAGATCTACATGTAGTGGCTAATTTTATTCCATCGTTTTATAAGAATAACTCAGCAGAGCCCAGGAAGTTTTGAGAGTGTAACAACATGGAGGGCACTGCTCTACCTGTCCTGGACACAGATGTCTAACTACCTGTCCGAAGCTGAACCCACATGCTGGTGGAGTATTGGCAATTGCTTGTTTAATTTAACCAAGTTAATATACTTTACACACTGAAAGTGTTTTAAATCCAATTATAGGTACTTTGTTATACTTTCTATTACTATTGTATTTTCTCACAAGTAGCTGTACTGCTTTTTAAGAAATCTTAATCTTTTTATCGTCACAGAAGAATAATGCAAACCTAAAATCACTAAGGACAGACAAGCTGGACTCCGAGGTAAGGACCTTTTCTTGGCCTTGGTTTCATATTCAGTTTTCCTTTTCCATCAACAGTGACTAAACTGTTAGATCAAAATCTGTGTTTTATAGGAGCAAGCCAAGGTAGCAAAGGTGGGACTGAAGCTGGGTCTGCTCACCTCTGATGCCAATTGCGAGATTGAGAAGTGGGAGGATCAGGAGAACGAGATGGTTCGATGTGGACGGAACATGTCCAGTGTGGCCTATTCTCTGTATTTATTTACTAGGTAAATCTAGCTGCATATGTAAACAAAATGTGGTAAACAAAATGTGCCATGTTAAACACTTAAGGTTAAAGTCAGTTACGAATGTAAAAAGACTCTAAGTAGTTCTTATGACAGTTAAGTAAATGCAATAAGAAGATACTTATTTCCTTGGAATTTAGATTTTGAAGGGGTTCTCCTCTAGGTTTGCGTTCCATTTTTTGCATAATTTTGAAATGATTTTTGCATTCTGCTTTTGTCATCCAGTATACCCATGTTTCTCCCAGCCATCGTTAGTAAGTTTAGAAAACATGCCTTTGAAATCTTTTTTAGATTTGTTTTTATTTATTTATGCATAAAAGGCCTGAGGTGCCAGGGAGTGAAAAGATTCACCAGAGACAGAATAGGGAGCAGAACAGACCGATGTACTGAAGGCCACTGCTGAGGGGAGCAGCTGGCGAGATAGGAGGGGTCTGCTGCCTCACATATAGGTTGGCTTTCTCTCCAAGTATTGAACTCCAGCTGCAGCGGTGACAGCAAGATTGTGATGAGACTAACCCTTAAAATACCAGAGAGGTCTCTGCCTTTGAAATCTTTATACAAATGATTGAATAGAACAATAGTTTTCCTGGGTAATTTTATAGCTCTCTTGGTTCTTATTCAAAGTTGCCTTAATAATTTTTGTAACTTCTTAGTAATTTATAGATAGCAACATTTTATAATTTTTGTAAGTTAATGATTTATATATAATTCATATTTCCTATATTTAGCAAGAGTTTTAGCTAAAAAATTTTCAAATTTACCAGCATTTAATAGTTTTTAAAGTGTTCATAATGCCATCTGATTGATCCTCACAGCAGTTTATTGTAACGGGAGTAAGTTCTGCATAAATTCCAGCAGTTAAGGGCAGAAGTGGCAACTTAGATTTCAAATCTTCTGATTTGTACTTAGTCCACAGCTCTTTTTAATGCATTTGTAAAATCTGAATCCTTCGTGGTAGTTTTCAATCTGATATTCCCTAATTCTGTACCCAGATTGCATCATGATTATTTTGTAGACTCAGTGTCAAACCTTAAATCACAAGCCTCATCAAAGGTGACTGAGTTCCTGCAGAGTTGCATTAGAGTGACAAATGAGAATTTCCTGACCGGGTCTGATCTTCTTTCTATTTTGTAACAGAGACCTTTTGGTTCAGACATATTATCAGGATCACATATTTAATTTATGAAACAAAATGAAAAAGGTTAAAAAGGAAAATTCAGCATTTCATATTATTCCTTGAAATTTTGGGATCTGTTAACACACAAAATACCCTGGATCATTAATATTATAAACCCAATTTCAGACAGTGACTTTTTCTTACCTCCTTAATAATTCATTTTCTTTCAGGGGAGAGGGGCCACTGAAAACTTCCCAGGATTTAATTAATCAACTAGAGGTATGTTTTGTTTGCGCGATACACAGTGCACAAGTAGAGGGCTGGAGGTAGCATTCTTGCAGCTTTTTTTGGGTTATCTTATTGGAAAAAACTTAACACTATAGGGCAAAGTAGGTGGGCTTTGAGAGTCAGTAGACGTCGTCATGGCTTTGGTTTGGCTCAGGGTCATAGGTCCACGTGCTCCTCTAGAGTAGCAAGAAGGGAGCAGATGTGAGAGGAGCCTCTCCTTGGATCAATTTGTGTCAGATCTGGGAACAGCTTTCTAATACACTTAAGCTCTTTTCTTGGATACAAGAAAAACTTTAGTTCTGTGGCATCTTTACCTTTAAAACTCTATGTGAATGTTATTAGTAAAAATATTTTTTATCAACTATCCATAAGACATATATCTAAAGTAGTGTTTTTCTTTCCACCAGAATTTTGCTGAAGAGGGCTTAAAGCTTGCTTCAAGTGTACAAGCTTTCTCAAAACAGGTAATGCAAGTTAACCTGCCTGGTGCTGGGGGAGATGTCAGGAATGTACTTTGGGAATATATTAAGATATATAGGTATTTAAGATTTCAAAGATGGAGTTTTGCTGGAGTAGTTATAAACTTCCTAAATTACATTTCAGCTGAAAGATGATGACAAGCTTATGCTTCTCCTGGAAATAAACAAGCTAACTCCTCTATGCCACCAGCTCCAGACAATAACTAAGATACCTTTGCAGAATCAGGTGTTTCTAAAGGTAAAAGGGAGGGTGGGCCATTCAGGTAGACACTTGTGAAACTTTCATACTTCTTTATGTGAGGCTGAAGTTAGCTCTTGGCTTCCTTTTCACCAAATAAAGTACTAATCCCACAGAAGGGCAATTTATTTCTAATTTTTATGCCTTGACTATAAGAATTATTCATTATTTGCAATTAGAACTGACCCCAGGGGGTAGTAGATTCACCGAATAAATTTGCTTTTGTTCATAATTAGTTATGGAGCTGCTACCCTTAAATCCTCATGTCATTTCTGCTCTAAGTAGGGCACAAACTCCCGAGTATGGGCTTATATTTGTCTTAGGAAATTTGCACTTTTGCCAACCAAGAAATTGGAAAGTGGGAAGTTCACTGCTCCTATATAAAGTGCTTTGAGGAGCCCCTAACTAGAATGAAGTAGAATTGGTCATTTTCTTATTCTTTCTTCTGGGGGTTCCCATGAAATGGTCATGAGAACCAGGCCACAGTCCCTACACGTGTCTTCTGGGTGCTCAGGTCAGCTCTTGAGTTCTAACCTATGTACCTTTTGAGATCCCTTATACCTCCATAAGGAAGAAGTGTCATCATTTTGATGCTAAGTAAATGATAGTATCTCTTGCTGTATTACCTCTTGTGATGAAATTTGCTTGGCTTACTTTCTGTCACTCCAGGTTGATAAGTGTATTACAAAGACAAGATCCACGATGGCTATCTTGGTCCAACTTCTCTCACTTTGCTATAAACTGCTGAAGAAGGTGAGAACATATTTTTCATCTTCAACTCACAGTTGAAAAACTGGTTCAAAACAAAATAATTACTATTGAATTTTGCAATTTTTATTTTCAGAGTAAAGTAGACAATAATTGTCTTATTTCTTTCCAGCTTCAGGTGGAAAACAGCAGATGGGGCTCGGCTACCAATAAAGATTCCATGGATAGTAAAATCTGAGTGCCTTTGGGGTCAGATCTCTGGAATATCATGTGGCAAAGCTGACATTTTTAGAAAGCAAATATTCTTTGTATTTTCTGAAACTCAGCAGTTTCATAAAGAAGACAAATCTGAAATCGTCCTATATTTTCTGATCATGAAATCAATTGTAAAACTTTTGACAACTAATAAATGAAGTGGTAGTTGTTAGAATTCAAATTGCAGTGTCATTATCAAATGGAACATTGCCACTGATGTTCTTTAAGAGCCAAACAAATTCTCTTAATGGTCTCAGTTGCTTTAATGACAATTTAATCCAAAGAGCTATTTTGAGTCTGTAACCACCTTGGGTATACCCTACCTTAACTCCCTATTGCTGTTTTTTTTTTTTTGTTTTTTTTTTTTAAATCTAAGCTTATCATTTAGGTACACTAATTTCCAGCAGAAAACATACAGTAGTCTGGGAGAATATAGGCTTTCCTTAGCCTGTGGCCCTCTTTTAACTCCTCTGTCCAGCAGTCATGACTGGGCCTCTTTGTCGTCAGACTACCCATGCTTCTAGCTTGCATTTGTGACAGTTTCAGGCTGTCATGCTGCCTGTGTCCCTGCCTGATTCCCAAAGGCCAGGTCCTGGAGCTCACACCACAGAATCCTGGAGGAACTCACTAGGGTATGGCTTGTAATTCTAATTCTAGTGTAAATGGCCCGTCTGCCCTGAATATTAGCTAGAATCCTAAATCTATTTCAGTGAGATTTCTACAATATCCTTTGCAGTAGTGCTGGATAAAATAGAAGCTGTAAGATTAAAAATTGTTTAATTAAATGTTAAATATTGTAAAATAAATTTATGCATATAAGAATCGGGGTGTAGGCCAGAAGTGCAAGGGGGTGAGTAGGGAACAGAACAGACAGATCTACTGAAATACACTGCTGAGGGGAGCAGTGGGCAAGATGGGCGAGGTCTGCTGTCATGTGCTTCGCCTCCCTGCCTGGGGCTCCAACTCTGTCCATTGTAGTGAGTGCTGAGACTTAACCCCTAGGCCCCCAGGGAGGCCCTAAAATAAAATCATAATAATCATACTTTTTTAATAATTGCATTTGGAAAGTTCATTATAAAGCAGTAACTTTTAATTTTAGGATTGAACACGTTTTTGTGTGGTGGATTTTGATAGGATCTGACTTACAGGTCTGTCCTTATAATACAGTAAACTCTGTTTTGGATGCGAGTATTTATATTTCAGAACTTTGAAACCTATGGGATATGTCATTTGCCAAATGGCAGCAGTGATATGCAAGCTTGCTTGATGATCATTATGTGGGTCAATTGTCAAGTGGTCACCAGGTCCTGAAGAACATTACTACCACCTACCTAGGCAATGTTTCATTGAACTAGAGTAGACACACTGAAAGCATCAGGCCACAAGTGGGATGTGCATCTCCTTAGTGACCTCTGCACTTCTTTAAACAGTCAAAATCATCAAGCATGGTTTTTGTTCCCTGAAACTATTCTTTTAAATTACAACAGAAATATTGGGGAAATGATGTGAGGTAATGCTATATGTAAAACAGACCTGCTTTTCTTTTACTATCTTTAGTATTTTTGTTTTATGACATGTCTGGGAATCATTCATGGTTACGTAGTGCTGTATAGATGCTTGTAGAATTACTACCTGTATCATGTCTGGTGAGTATATTTAGGCCACAGTCTTGTTGGCATTTAAGTTAGTAAGTTTCTTGTGAATCAGAAGTAACTTAAAAATTTTATCTACAGTACATTTTCATATACCCAAAATGAGAATATTCCCTTATTTAAGTACCAGTGGTGGTAAGGACAGAAAAACTTAGGACCTCAAAGCAAAAGTGGATAGAGAACCAAAGGAATTTATGCAAGTGACTTCTACTGCATTAAATATTATTTTGAAGCATATTTAATGTGTTGACATTCCTAAAATAAATTTTAAGTCTGTTATTTGAAATTCAGTGTAAATTAAGTTTATAGTCAAACTATAAATTCATAGTCTTCTGCTATATTTAAATGATGAGAAAGCTTTTGTTCCATTTGAAGGCATCGATGTATTTGAATTTATAGCAACTTCTTAGTAACTTCTTTGCTCGTTACCCTGTCGCTGGAGTGTAAAACCAGTTTAATGCTGCATTCTAACATTCCTATTGTCAGGCGAACCTTTGTGCTTTTCATAGTCTTTCCGGTGTCTCTGAGAAGCCACACGCTTTATCTCAAAGAAGGCCACCCCAGGGGCATGGAAGTAGAGAAGGTATTTTCTCAGCCTCTTCCCCACAACCCATAAGGAGACAAGCTGGGGCAGAAAGGGTGGGACTGACTGTGGGAGTGTCACACGGAAACAGACTGGCTAAGATGGGCCAGCTAGAGTTTACAGAAACTTCCAACAAATGGAACACTGAGGCAAGAACAGTAACCATGCCCCAGTGTTTACATAGAAATATGCCAAAATCGTATTTACTTCCAGATTGTAGGATGAGTAAATTATTTTACTTTCCTATTTGACATTTTCCTAAATTTCTTCAAAGTGCTTTGTTTTGAATCAGAATTACAGCCCTCGCTTGCCAGTTAGAGAGCAGCAAAATAAGAGAATGAATTCGTGGGCAGGGCAGATCTGGGAAGCTGAAGACAACGGGCAGCCATTACACAAGGTAAAGGAAGAAAAGGCCAAGTGCAGGCAGCCCTGCGGACGGCGGCCCTGCAGTTGGAGTGAAATTCGCTGTCTGTCTGCTGGCTCTGCAGCGCTCGGTTCCCCTGGGCCAGGCAGCAGTGAGGGTCCCGTCAGTCCTCATGATGTGGCCATGGTGGCATTAATGCGGTTCCCCAGTACTTCTTCATACTGTTCTTGGGTCAACAATCCTTCTGTAATGCTTTTACTTTCTTCAAATTTGGGCAGCACAACTGCAATGTAGCCTTCGGTGGATGGCTAGAAAGGAAGAAGAATACTTAGTGCCTTTAACAGATAAGACACTAGATGGGAAATAATGGGACCGTGCCTGCCCCCACGTTACCTTCTCTTGAAGAATAGACGGCTCGTGGAGGATGTTTTCATTCACTTCCATCAGCCGACCTCTAACACAACTATTAAAAAAAACAAAAAGCATTGCGTTGAAGAAAAATATTACCTCCTGTTTCACTGAAACTGTGGTTAAAGAGTAACTCACCTGGATATGGTATATTCTTCTCCATCTGAGCAGTAAATCTTACACAGGGGTGCCAGTTCTGTCAGAAACTGTGCCCCCTATGTAATAAAAGGGAAGAGTAATTAAATGATGAACACTTGCTTTCCTTTGTGAGAGACAGTTCTCAATGTCATAATACAATATATCCCTAGAACTAGTATTTGTGCTTTAAAATAAAAAATGACTGGAAATAATTCCTTTATTCAAATATTTATATGATAAGTGCCAGCTCTTTGTCGAGGACTACCCTAGGCTCTGGGAGAAAGGCAGACTGAGAAATGTGATAACAGGTAGTTTTATTACAGGTTAGAATTTTTTCTTTTTTATTGACTGTAAATGAGAAAGTGATATATAGCCAGGGGAAAGATTTCAAAAGTAGAGCAAAAGCAATAATAAAAAACTGAACATGGGGCCCTCCCTGGTGGCGCAGCAGGTTAAAGCATAGCACTAAGAAGCTAAAGCCACTTCAGCATGAGTTTGAACTCCACCCGCCCCGACGTGACCCACATGGCCTGGCAGACCTCTCCTGACCCGCCCGCTGCTCCCCTCAGCAGTGTACTTCATCAGTCGGCCTACTCTGCTCTCTACTGTCTCTGGTGAATCCTCTTAACTGTCCCTGCACCTCTGGCCTATATCCCAGTTCTGTATGCATAAATAAATCTTTAAAAAAAAAAAAAAGCTGAACATAGAGTATGACAACAACAGTGTGGGAAGACAGTTTCACTAAATTCCTTATTTTTATATTGGAACTTAATAAAGTAACATCTTTGTTAGGGTCAATCACTAAGACTTTTAGAAAGGGCATTTTTCTGGGCTCTCCTTGGTGGTGCAATGGATTAAACTGCAGCACTATGAAGCTTTCTGCAGCCACCGCAGCACGAGTTCAATCCTTGGCCAGGGAGGTGGCCCACATAACTTAGCAGATCTCTCCTGACCCACCTGCTACTCCCCTCAGCAGTGTATCTCAGTCAATCTGCCTTTCTTGTTCCTCACTCTGTCTCTAAAGAATCTTCTCATACCCCACCCCCCACACCTCTGGCCTGTCTAGTTTGCATAAATAAATACTTTTTAAAAAATGGGTATTTTTCTAATTAAAATAAACTCACGTTGAGGAAAATTTAGAAAATATACAAAAGTGTTAAGTAGCAGATAAGAATAAGTTACTTATTATCCTATAGGCTGGAAGTAAATATACATTTCCATATGTATCTGTTTGAAGGTCTGGCATGGTTATTGTCTCATGTACTCCTCTATGTGGATGTAGCTGGGGAGGTTCCCAAGGAGGCTCATGGGAAACTGGTACAGGGATGCCTCATATGTTGCTCTCTTTTCACCCCCAAAATAACTGTCCTGTAGTGAACAGAGACACTTAAGATCAAGACGCTGTTCTTTATAATCTCTTTACTACTGAAAACAATATTAGCAATCAGATTTATTACCACATTGGCTTCCACTCCTCTGCATGTGGCTACTTTATTTCAAAATGCTATTTTTTCCCCAGAGGTAAGTCTGCATCAAAAGAAAGGTGGTTTTTTTTATGTCCTCCTTTGGAAGAATAAATGATCGGCAGTGCCAAGAGCCTACAATATTCATTTGTAACTAGGGTCCCATGTGCAGGTCCCTCTGTTCTTCAGTAACAAACATCTTATTGCACAAAGATTTATCACAGAACTTTGCAAGTACTAGCTGTTTTACTTATAATTTATAGAAGTTAATAAAAGAATGGTCCATGCTTTTGTAAGTCCATGTGTTTTCCTGCATGAGGAAATATTAGCTATTGGAGACTTCATGCCTACAAAGGGAAGTATAAGCAAGGTCTCCTAGAACAGTGAGGGTATCGGCAGAAACACCTACTACGAGCTCAGTAAAGAAAGGGCCTAAATCACCCACAGAAACTCTGTGCAGTGAGAATGTCAGGGTACTTTAGCTGGTGCTGAATTGTTCTTGATATAATCCCCTTTTAACAAAATGTCCATCTTGCCTAGGGTTGTACATTTTTTATGGCTGAACACTGTGTGGTGTAGAGGGTGTGATCAGATATGCATTAAATTGGCAATAGTAAGGAAATGAAAATGGTGATATGGAAAAGAGCAAATACTGGCTATTTTCTCAGATTGATTTTAAATGCAAGATAGGTTTTTAAAATTTGTGAAACTACATGAGCCAGTCACCTCAGTTTTATTAAACTCAAGATACAAGTTTAGTAAAACTAGAAGGGACAAAATATCTTGATATATTGCTAACAGAGTTGCCCTTTCAAGGACCATCTTTCCTATCCTCCATGCTGGGGAAGGTACTATGGAACCATATGTACAGATACTATACCTTCTCAAATACGTCGATTTTTCTGCTCTAAGAATTTCTTTATGGCTAAAGTATTTTTAAAACCCATACCTCCAACGACCAAGAATTATGCTGAATAGACATTACAGATTTTAAGACTAACTGATCTATAATTACTAATTACTATTGCTGAAAGAGGATTTAAATACAGAGTTATAGGAACATACCCGCTTAAACTTCCCAGAAACCTTGTTCTGAAGTCTGCTACAGTTGGTACTGATTTGATAGGAAATGCTTTTGATTGTTTTTCCACTTTGAAGAACTGGATGAGATCCTGCGAGTGTGATGACACAGATTCTACAAAAAGCAAAAATTGATCCTGTGTTATTGCTGGGTATAATTCTTCCTTCTGTGACACAGGATGCCTACTAGCATTCGACTCTCTGCACTGGGTTCAACTATCATTCCATTCCATTTTCTTTTGGCTAAGACTGGAACTTAACTGTATAAGAAATTGTGAGAATTAAAGACTAGAGAATGGAAGGGATTTCTTTCCCAAAAAGAGGTAGAGTACTACAAGCTGTTGATTAACACTGAGAAGTAAGACATGCCAGCATGGACAGAATACAGATACCATCTATGCCTCTAGCTAACTCCTTCCGTGGACTCTGGCGCTTCAGTGACTAGGCACAGGTAGGTCACTTCAGGTAGTTGTTGACTGAGGCTATGGTTCTCATTTGGAAGTTTGGGTAATCAAGTTTATTTGTTCTGAATGACAGGCAGTGAAAAGCTCATTCTTGTCAACCAAACCCTCCTATAGTAAGTTATACCATTTCAACACAGTGGAAGACAATAATTAAATGAATATTTAATTTTTAATTAACAGCCAGGCCATACCAGGCTACAAGCCCAGAAAGAACGTTTTTGTGATTACTCTGAATTCCCATGTGCTTACCGGTTAGAATGCTGTAATATACAGTGGTCCTCACAGGGCTTTCCTTTGACATCTAGAATAATAAATGAGTCTGTTGGTTGAGTCAATACTAAATAACACTGGGTAATAAGTTGGCTCATAGAGTTAATCATGATGATTGTATAAAAACTGACATTGGTATAAAAAGATACAAGTAAAAACATCCTATAAGGTATTTAAAGGGACCTGACCCAAATAGGATAATTTATTCAATATTGAAGTGATTAATGCTTTGTTCCATCTTGCTTTATCCTCACTTTAAAATGAGTACTCTTTTAAAAATGTGATCGACAAGCATTCTTTATATAGTGTATATTTTGTTGGACAGTTAGTTACCATCTCCATGTCATCCTGGTTTGCCCGGCACTGTAGGGATGAAACCCCTGTGTAAACCGAGTCGGCTGGTCACCCTAACTTTGGCTAATAAAATTGTTACAATACAGATTTTTAAATACCGATTATCCCAGAGTCGAAGAAGGCAGGCAGGAGTTAGAAGATGCACCCACCACTGAAATTTACTATGTACTCACAAACCGTATAACAGGGGACCTACTTCCACGTGGCAAATGTGTACTACTGGCGACTACTCTTAAGTAAAATGCCAGACTGCTTTCTAGTGTAACCACTCGCTTTCTCCACCCCTACTACCTCTACTTTTGTTTCGACCTGATCATGTCAGTCTGCTGTATCGCCACTCCCTGTAGGACTGAACCCCAAGTTCCTTCGGCATTCAAGCTGACAATGCAGCTCCTATCTCTCCTAGTCTAAAATAGTCACACTTTCGACTACTATTCTCTCTGTATGCAACCTACCCTCAGCGCACTGCATTCGCCAGCCCCGGACTACACCCCACAATATTTCAGGCGTCCAAGCCTTCGCAAACCCCCTTCCTTCGCATAGAAGGGAATGAGATACAGTTCGTTCTGACGTCGGAGGTAGCGCCGAGCTTACGATCTGTCACCAAGCCCCACAACGTCAGGTCACAGCGGCCGAGGAGAGGCCGACGTCATTCCCACTTACCCGCTTTGTACCAGCGAGTAAAGTAACGATCCACGAGCGACGGCACAGCGGACTCCGCAGCGGCTGCGGGCTCGGTAGCCATGGCGACCCAAAGGCCGACACCCCCGCCCTCCCGGACTCGATTTCCTGCCGGAAGTGTGCCGGAGAGGGGCAACTTTCTGGCGCACGTGCCTCACCGTGGGCATGCGTGCTTCTCTCCCGGCCCTAGGCTCCGCTCACCGGCGCCAATCATTGAACGTCGAAGTTTGACGTCAGCGGAGGGCGAATACAATAGGTTGGGCAGAAGGGCGGAGCTACAAGGCTGAGGCCTGCGCGGTTCCACCAGGGATCCCGGACAGGCAGGCCCCGCCCCTCATCTCGTGACGTCATTCCCGCGCCGAGCCGCGCGTGTCTGGCCTGCTGTGCGCGTCAGTTGCACCAGCTGCCCCTCCTCCGGGCACTATCCGCTATACCTCGGGGTCTGTAAGTTGGCGGTGGGGAGGTACGGTGCGCGTCCAGAGCGAGGCGCGCGCACAGCCTCGGGCTGGCTCCTGCTCTTGGCGGGGAAGACTAGGGCGGACGCTCTGCTGTTTTGGGGTCCTCAGAGCGAGCCTCAGGTGAGCTTTTCAAGGACTCCCAGGGATGGGTAGGCTGGCAGCCGGACCCTGTTCACTCGGGGTGTCCCGATGGAGGGAACCTTTGAACTCTGCCTGCTGCAGGCCTGGTATTGCAGCGCGGCGTGACCACCTCTAGCTTCGAATCTTGAATATTTCTGTAGATTTAATACTTGCTCCACCTGCGGCCGTCGGGAGGGCGGGACAGCCTGGATGGCGTTGCTGCTCCAGCAGCTGTACTTACCTGGCCACCTGATTCCTTGTGGCAGTGGACAGTGCCGCTGAAAGAGAATCGATTAATGTTAAGACCGAAGGCAATGGTTATTAGAGGATTGTTTGGGAGGCTTTTCTGTGCGTGCTTTCTCGCGTTGGTGACTTTTTCGTGGGAATATTTGGTGCTTTTCCTTTTAATGTGTGTTATGTGGCCTTCACCCCCATGAAGCTATGACGTCCATGGATTCAACGACCGTCAGTCGTCTTTTGTCTTTAGATCCTAGCTTTTAAAGTACTCAGTGTTTGAAGTAGCCCACACACCAGATGGAGAGGTTGATTAGCACTGTGTAAAGATTCATACTGTGTTATTGACAGACACGGAGCTAACCAGTGAATCGTTTACTAAGCCGGTGTGAACAAGAAGGGGGCAAAGATAAATTGTTAACTTGGACAGAGGACAGAAATATCCAGATAGGGGAAACCCATTTGATGAAAGAATAAAAAGTTCTTAATTTTCCTGGTTGCCTTTCATGTTCTTGAGAAACATTCTTCTGAAGACAGAAGGAGCTTGAAAATGTGGTTTAATTCTTAAGTTTGGGAAGGGTCGGAGCTGGATATGTAGACTTAGTCAACATATAAGTTGCTCTGGTAGGTAGTTAAGAGTTGTGAACACGATGATTAAAGAGGTGGATGGAGGAAGGGGCAAGGAAAATGGAGGAGGTTTATCAGAATATTAGGAAAGGATTCCTGATCTGTGGTATGGGGAGAGTTAGGACATTTGAGGGGGGTGGAAAGTTTCTAAATGGTGGGCTCAGGGAGTTGGTGATTCCAAAATAAGCCTAGGTTCTGGAAGAGTTGGGAGGATACTTTCCTAGCCATGAAAAGGAATGGGGATGGCTCTGAGAAGGAAAGGGACCCTTTCACTCTTGATGGGTGAAAATCAAGAGAAGTTAACTATGCATTGGATGGCAGGGGTAAGTAGCTCATGGTGGCAGGCTGTACACAATTCAGTGTTTTGGGAACTTGGATTGTTTGCTGTATCTGTCAGTCAAGGTTCAATCAGGAAGGTAGAAACCTCGAGTATTTCAACAGGAATAATTTAATATGAAGAATTGATTAAATAACTAGTGAAGCAGAAAGCTCATGGGAGCCACGAAGCATTGTAAGGGATGAACTGATAAAAGTAACTCCAAGTATCTAGGCCTCGAGATCAAAACAAAGGAAGACACGTCCTGACCTGATGATGGAGGAGAGGCACTGTAGGGGTAGGACTCATTTCTGGTGCTGATACCTCTGAAATCAATGGGAGGAGCCCCATGTTGCTGGATTGCAGCTATCTGGAGGGGGTGCTGCCTCCTTAGTGTTGTTCCCTTGGTGGGTGGGAATGATGAGACTGGTCCTGGGACCCCTGCAAGACCCATTGCTGGGGCAACATTGACAAGAGCAGCAAGATAACAGGAACAAGTGTGTCATTCTTAGGTCCTTCTGCCTTTACCCTCCAGATTCTTAACCTCAGGGTCCATGAATCCCAGGGCTTAATTGGTTGTTGGTGAGTAGAACCCAAGTGTGTAAGATGTTTTGATGATCTGATCATGGCAACAGAAACAGCGCCATGAACATATTAAACCCTCATGAAAAACAACCAGAAACGATCTGACCCCTTGAGCTTGTCTGTTCTGATGCCAGGCATTCTCTCATCTCAAACATGAGTGTGATTTATCACTGTTAAACTGTTCCTTTTTCTCTTGGAAATTAATGCTTCATAACGAGTTATTTGTTTGTTTCTTTCAGCAATCACTTCATCATGAGAAATCTAAAGCTACTGCAGACCCTGGAGTTCAGGGATATTCATGCTCTGGGGAAGCCTCAGTGCTTCTGTCTCAGAACGGAACAGGGGACGGTGGTCATTGGGTCAGAGCGTGGTCTGGTGGAAGTAGACCCCGTCACAAGAGAAGTGAGTCATTGATGTATGCCAGCACGAAGCATGGCCCCTTACTTGTCTTCTTCACACTTGTGTTCCCCTACATAGACTGTACTGTAAATTTTAATGAATTCATAACTTACTAAATTAATATTCCATTTACTTTATGTTGCTGTTGTGTTAGGTAGAATTTAAATCGTTACCAACCTTTACCTCTGTTTCTATTCTAAATCTAAGTTGGCAAAACTCTGACCTGTTTTGTGTAGGTGCCTACTCGAGTAAATACTGTAAATACTGTATAAAACAGTGACCCTCAATTGGGAATGTAAATAAAAAATGCCTGTAGTGTTTTTAAAAACTATGTTTCAATCTCTGCCCCACACCAACTAAATCAGAATCTTCACTGCTAGATTCTGAGCATACAAAAATTCTTCGAGTTGATTCTGATATCGTCCCTTAACTGTATTTTGCTGCTTAGGTATTTTACTAATTTGCTACTGATATATTTTGATTATTCTTAGCTTTTTCTTCACACTATAAAAATATTAGAAAACTAGTTGTTAGTGTCATGTTTAATTGTATATTTTAAAGAGGCCAAGGTTCTTGCTTTTGTTTTGTGTTTGGTTAGCAAAACGTTTGCATTAAATATTTTTCCTGTTAAAGAAAGTAGTAATGCGATATTTCTGAAGTGTAAATTTAGATTTTAATCTCAAAAAGGAAACATTTTTGAAAATTTTAATGCTGTGAAGGAGAATTAAGAAGTATTTTACTCTAGAGTTATGAGTTGTCACTGAACGAAGATTGGCTTAAATTTTGTTTACTTGTTTTGGCGGAAGGTGAAAAATGAAATTCCTTTGGTGGCAGAAGGCTTTCTCCCAGAGGATGGCAGCGGCTGCCTTGTGGGTATCCAGGATTTGCTGGATCAGGAGTCTGTGTGTGTGGCCACTGCCACTGGAGATGTCATACTCTGCAACCTCAGCACACACCAGGTTAGCAGGGGCAGGGGCGGCCTTTTCAAACCAGTGGCTTGTTTTGTGCAGAAGTTTGAAGAATTGGGAGCCATAGTATTTACGTATTCTGCAAACTGCAGTTTTTGCATTCTGTATTTCCTTATCAAAATGATTGGCATGGCTTTAGCTATATTTTAGGATTCTTGTAAAACCCACTTTTTGTTTATTGCATCTTTTAGGCAGATTAATCAGAACATTCCAAATTGGAATTTAAAAAAATGGATCCTGGTCATTCTCATGTAGTGTAGCCAAGAATCTGATCCTGTGTTGTCACTATTATTACTTAACTTAGTAGATTTTTGAGCTTTTAATATGATTATATTTTTAGTCATGAATGCTAATTAATCCTCTCATTGATAGCTAGCTTTGGAGTCATTGAAATACAGATACTAAAATAATACACTCTCACTATGTGTATATTTTTGACTATTAAAGGAGATAGACTTCAGACATTTCCCTCTTTTTCTGCTCTTGCATAAGGTTGATTTTCTGGATTTCTTTCCCCATATTCTTTTTTCTTAAAATTAATTTATTTAAAGATTTTATTTACTTACTATTGCATAGGAGAACTGGGGTGTAAGCTAGAGGTGTGGGGATGAGAGAATTCACCAGGGACAGAGTAGGGAGCGGAGTAGGCAAATTTACTGAGATACTGCTAAGAGGAGCAGCAGGTGAGACAGGAGAGGTCTGCTGTGCCATGTGGCTTAGCTCCCTTTCCAGGGATGGAACTCAGGCTTAGCGGTGATAGTACTGAGACTTAACTCCGAGGCCTCCAGAGATACCCTCTCTCCGCACATTCTTAACAGCCAGTCTGATATAAAATTTCTTTGATGACATCGTCAGTTGTGATCTCTTTGACACTGATTCTATCAGAAGAGTTACAGTATAACTAAAGAGAGTGTAAGAATAGCAGCTGACATTTATTAACTGTTTACAATGTGCCAGACACTTTTCAAGTGTGTTTCATGCAAGATTTCTTCATCATCGCGACATTATGAAGCAAATTGCTGTTTTCCCATTCTTCATAAGATGGAGCTGAGGCTTAGAGAGCTTCGTAACTAAGCTATAGTTCTACAGTTGTTGGAGGATATTTAAGCCCTAAATTTGATAACTTTGCTTTTAACCATTCTGTTTAATGCAGTAATAGATCTTTCGGTCAATGGTGACAAGTATCAAAACCATCAAGTACAACTTAGTGTTTCTCAAATTTAGAAGTATGCTTTTACTTTCAAAACATTTTAGACCTTTTTTTTTTATTATTAAGTTCAGGTGCTGATCCTCCCTATTCTGTAATACAGAATCCATGTTGCTTGTGTCTTATGAGACCTTTCATTATGTGTTTTAATTTCATTCCTCTCTCTCCCCAACATTCCTATGTGTCTGTTTCTTATTGCTCTAGTTGCGGTTGATTTTTTAAAAAAGATTTATTTATTTATGCATACAAGAACTGGGGTGCAGGCAGTGAGAGGATTCATGAGACAGAGTGGGGAATGAAACAGGTGGATTGATGAAATGCACTGCTGAGGGGAGCAGCCGGCGAGGTAGGACAGGTCTGCTGTGGCTGTGCCATGTGGGTCACCTCTCTGGCTGGGGATCGAACTCACACTGCAGTGGCTCCTGATAGCTTCATAGTGTAAGACTAAACCCCTTGTGCCCCTGGAGAGTCACTTTTTTATCTCCTTCGTGAGCCAGCTCTGGGATAATGGTGTAGCCTTAGTCACTTCCAGCCCTATGTTATGCCTATTTTCATAATACCTAACACTTCTTAATACCTTAATATATGTTTGTTGAATAAACATTTGCATGTTGTGTTTTTAATTGTTTTGATTAAGGCTGTAGTCATTATTTACCCAGATGTTGGTATTTTGAAATCTCTCAGCATTTTTCTCTTGTCTTAGCTGGAATGTGTTGGGAGCGTTGCCAGCGGCATTTCTGTCATGAGTTGGAGTCCTGACCAGGAGCTGGTGCTTCTTGCCACAGGTAGGCTTGTCACTGGTCCTTAGCTCGGGCTTTGAAGTATGACACCTTTTTTACTTAAGTTTTACCCTTCAGTAAATTGTTTTAAAAATGGACTCATTTAGCTTTTCAATCGTTGGAAATGGGATTCAAAGTCCTAAAACCTGAAGATACTACCAAGCCCATAGTTAGAAATGTCAGCAGTATTTATTCTGCCAGCTTTCAAGGAAGAGTTGTTCAGGAACAGATTCTAAAACTATCCTACTGCTCTTTTAAGCACTCTTACAAGCTCTCAGGTACTGCTTTTTTTCTCTAAGTCTCTTCATTGGGATGAGTTTCTGTAAACTTGCACCCTTGTGAGGAATATTTAAAAAAGGCCCTTGATGATAAAAGTGTGAAAGTCAACAGAGGACTTTGTGGGCCTTCATGCTGGTTCATGTATCAGTAGCAGAGAAGCAGCACCTGGTGGCTTATTCTGTCGAGAGTTTTTTTGATTTTCTTCAATGAGAGCCAGAACATTAGCATGACTTTTTTTCTACTCTATTCTGACTATAAACTTCTCCACTCCAGCTCTGTAGTTTATAGTGTCATAGACACTTAGGGGATGGCAAATTTGGTCCATGAAAACAAAATCATTCTTGTTTGTGCTCTTTCAAGGTCAACAGTCCCTAATTATGATGACAAAAGACTTTGAGCCAATCATGGAACAGCAAATTCACCAGGCTGATTTTGGTGAAAGTGAGTATAGCTTTGAAATATTTTGTGATGTGAATTTCTGCTCAGGTTTGGCCATTTTCTTACATGCTAATAGCCACTCATAAACCCAAAGAACCATGAAGCTTATAGTTTTATTTACTAACAGTCCAGTTCCTTTAGCCCATCCCAGATCTGACTCTTCTGTCTGAGAATTGACTTTGTCATTGACCTGGGCAATAGACACATACCTGTGCTAAGGATTCCTGAGAAGGTTATTGCCCAGACCTCAGCAAAGGCCTAGGCTGGAAGTTGAATGAAAGGAACTGTGCTGATTAGAATAAGAGTACTTCTAGGGTGAAATTTTGGGGAGAAAACAAGTGATTTAGAAGGCTTATTTTTGTTTCTGCTGATAGACCCAAGCCTGCATTTTCATGGGAAAAATAATTCTCAGATTGTTTTCTTGCTATGATTTAATTTAACTGTGGTATTTTGGAGTTGAGACTGTGGGAGTATTGAAGGAGGGAGGGAGATGCTTATTGAGTGTAAGAAGTTCTGGCCAACTTGAGGTTACAGGTAACGGCCTGGTTAAGGGAAGGGAGAGGGGGAAGAAAGTATTTTAAGTTGCTGCAATCTCATCGCGTAGCTTTTTGTTCCACAAATTCAGAAGCATTTAGAAGACTAATACTCATTCAAAAACAATTTGTTTGAAAATAACTTTTGAGTGTTGCTATGAAATTAGCAGTGTGTTTGGTAATTTTCATTAGTATAGTAGTTAAATGATGTACAGGGACTAGAGCGGCATCAGGGAAGGGAAGGAGCAGTGCAGTCAGAAGGCTTCGCTGTGGAGGCCGACTTGCACTGAGCCTTGGCTGAACTGGGATTGGTCAAGGGAGGTTGAGGTGGGGCAGTGGTCTACACAAATGAATCATCAGTTCCCCAGGCAGGAATGTGTCGTAGAAGCCTTGCCTGAGTCATGGCTTCCCAGGCAGCTGTGAGTACCTCAGTATTGCCTGGCAACAGGACAGAAGTTAAGAATCAAATGAACACATGGGTCTTAATTAAGCTTGGTAGGGAATTTGGACATTGAGGTATAGGTGATTGTTGATGATATACAGTTGATCGATTGGTGGAGTGAGAAACAGCCTGGAGGCTGGGTGATCAAATAGGTGGTTGCTGCAGGAATCCAGGCGAACTGTAGAAGAGAGGGTGAATTCAGGAAAAACTAATTTTCAGTGGTGAGGAGTACATTTTTTTTTTTTTAAAGATTTATTTATTTATTCATATAAAACTGGGGTACAGGCCAGAGATGTGGAGGGTGAGAGGATTCACCAGAGACAGAGTGGGGTGCAGAACAGGCAGATGGACGAAGTACACTGCTGAGGGGAGCAGCGGGCGGGTCAGGAGAGGTCTGCCGCGCCATGTGGTCACCTCCCGGGCAGGCGGGAATCGAACTCATGCGGAAGTGGCTTTAGCTTCTCAGTGCTGTGCTCCAGCCCGCTGTGCCACCAGGGAGGGCCCGAGGAGTACATTTTTTTAATTATCTGAGAAAAACATTTGGGATGTCTGTGTTTGGACTCCAACCTGCCCGAGCCAGTTTGAGAAATAAGAGAGTGTGGAAGGTGGAGGAGAAAGCGCTGGGACTCCAGCTGAAGCTCAGGTGGTGGGAGTAGTGGGGGAGTGGTGGGAGTAGTGGGGGAGTAGCTGGTCTCTTTGCAGTGGGCGGTGGCTCCTAGCAGAGGTTTGTGTAAGGGCCACGTGGAGTCATCCTATGAAGCTCGCAAAGAGGAAGGGCTGCAGCGCAGAAGGCTGGCACTGTGGCCTGGGCATCACTGGGATGTAGGGAGTCTTTACAGTCTCGGCAGTAGATGAACTCGAGCACTGAGGGACTAGAAGAGTCTAGGATATGGGGTGGAACTCTACAGCCGTCAGCATCACAGACAGTCGCAGATGTGACCGCATGTCATAAACAGTGCACTGGCCACCAGCTTACTCTCAAGAAGCCCAGTGGAGTAAGGAGCGAGTGGAGTTCAAGTTAGGGTGTTAGGTCTTAGAAATATATTTATCAGTTAAAAGAAAGTCACTCTGTGGAGTGTCGACCCAGGGGTTGACAAACTTTATTCTGTACAGGACTTAGTAAATTTTATCAACTTTGCAGGCTATATGATCTCTGTCGCAGTTGCTTAACTGCTGTTGTACTGTGAAGGCAGTTACACATAACACTTAAAGGAATGTTCTGTCTCAGTAAAAGTTGAAGTGGACATAGTGTAGGTTTGCCAGTCAGTCTCTCATTTTCTGATTCCACTGGGAAGTTCTGCGGAAGCCTGGTGGGGCACACCAGGGTGGGAACTGGAACTTGCGCCCAGCAGCTAGATATGTTTGCGGGTCCACTGCACGTGGGTGTGCCCAAGTGGAGAGAGAGGAAATGGTCATGTTGACCCAAAATTTGTAGAAAATTGTGTTTAAACAGATTGCTTCATCAGAATCAAAATCAGTGGCAGGAGGAAGGTGTTGGGCCCTGGTGTGACTGATGCTCTCAGGGATGTTTCACTGTATCCCTTGCATGTGGCTGCAGAGTTGCATTGGTTCAGCAAGTCCAGCTTTATGTTTCATGTAATAGAAGCCTTATGACTTAGAAAGAACCCCAGCCTGGAAGGGAGGAGCTCTGTTTTTTTTTAAGATTTATTTATGCATATAAGAACTCTGGGATGTTGGACAAAGGTGGGCAGGGGTGAGAGGACTCACTAGAGAGAGTGGGGAGCAGAATAGACAGATGCACTGAAATACACTGCTGAGGGGAGCAGCAGGTGGGACAAGAGAGGTCTGCTGCGCCATGTGGGTCAGCTCCCTGGTCCGGGTAGAACTTGTGCAGCAGTAGCTGCCAATAGCTCCATAATGCTGAGACTTAACCCTGTGTGCCAACAGGGAGGCCCCAGAGCCCTGTTTCAATTTTGACCACTGCCACTTAGGACATGTCGTCTTTAGTCTCTTCTATGTAGTGGGGTAGTGGGGAGAATGGATACATTAGTGGCTTGTTGCTTATAATCAGGATTTTATTAGTACCTCTTATCTTGATTTTTATACTTTGTTCTATACCAATGTATATCATGTAAATTCTTCATGTTTTATTCTACTTCTTTGTAAAGTGCTGACTCTCATTAAGAGCATTTGGAATATTTAAGATGGCAATAAAATGTTTTCTAAAATAAGGGTATTTCAGATTTTTCAGACTCACTGCCACATGTAATATAGAATGTAGGTTTTTCAAATGTTGACTGCTGATCAATTTGTTGAAAGCACTCAGATGACCTAAGTGATTGGCAGTGACTAACTTACTGAAAAATAGCAATGAGCTGATTTTATTTAACTTATTGGTTGGCTTGCAAATTCTCAATTATTATTCCCTAGGTAAGTTTATCACTGTTGGATGGGGCCGGAAGGAGACACAGTTCCACGGATCAGAGGGCAGGCAAGCGGCTTTTCAGGTGCAAACGGTAAGGTTGCTCTGTGAGGTGCCTTGGTGGGAGAAATAGAAATTCTGCCTCCAGAACACCAGGAACTTAGGTGCTGAGATAAAGATTAATGATCGACAGATCTCCTCTGCTTTAGGAAAACAGTAGTTTTTTGGAGCCTTCAGGGAATGACTCATCCTAGAGAGATCCTCTTTTTTTCCAAGTTGCTTTGTCATTCAATGTTAGAATAAATATTATTATCTACATTAAATTTTAAAAATAAGCTATTACAGGCAGACACGAAATACCCGTCTCTCTCTTCCTTGCTGCTGTCCTGATTTCCTAGCTGGTCATCTGCATGTGTACTTTACTACTTCATGTGTTTACTTGAGAGATTTTTTTAATGTTCCCTTTGTTTTTTCTTTCTGGCTACATTTTGAAGGTAGAGCTGCAGAATGTCTTCATAATAGATCAGGTGTGAGGTATGAAAGAGCAACTAGGGATAATTACGCCACAACTCAAGCCTGAGCAAGTGGAGGCATGTGTATTTGTAGCCTATTTAGAAATTTCCAAAAACTGCCTTTCTGGAAGGGCGAATCAATAATGCATTGCTTGCCATTGACTTTCTCTGCCCTTAATTATTTCCAGCAGCATTCTGCAAAACTCGCCGTAGACCTTCCTTAGAGTCAGTCTGTGGTCTCTACTACAGGGCGGTTCACTGAGCAGATGCTTGCTGGCTTGCCTGTGTTGTTCCCAGTAGCGCTGGCTGTGCTGCCAGCACATTTCCACTCAGCTGCACTGGCATGTGATGTTTGCCCAGGTGATCGATTGCCCCCCACAGGCAGAGTTAGTTTTCATCTTCAAGGTCCTGATGGAGATAAGGTGGCATCAAAGACTTGCCTTGCTCCCAGCTACAGAGCACAGATGCTGATCATTGCTGCTACCTTGGTGACCTCTGGTTCTTCCCTACCCAGCTTTCTTTCCCCTTCACTCTCTTGTGCTATTGTGAAGCTTTCTCAATAATTGAAAAAGCAGAATTCTACCTGCTTATATGTAGATAGACAGAACACTTATCTCCTTATTGTGGTTATGTCACTATTTTTAATATCTACATCTACGGAGAGTTCTTTCCCACTGTTGAAATGCTATTTGTTTGTTTATTTATTATCTCTCCTTTTTTTTCCCCCCCTTGACCACCTTTCATTTTAATGCCCAGAATAGGATTTTGTTTTGAATTTGGTTTTTCTTTTCTTGATGATTTCTGGGCCAAAGCATCTTCTAGAAGGGTTAATAAAGATTCTGTAAAACTGTTTTCTAGATAGCATGGACAGATATAAATTTAACAGTCTGGGGCAGAATTTATTATGAGCCATTGAAGGCTGCCAGTAGCATTTCTATTTCTTCCTTTCTTTAGCTCGAGTCTGCTTTGCCCTGGGATGACCATAAAACACAAGTTACCTGGCGTGGTGATGGGCAATTATTTGCTGTGAGTGTTGTTTGCCCAGAGACAGGTATGGAAGTAAATTGAAGGTAAAAGAGTTTTAAAATCTTATTGAATTCAAAGGTGCTTTTTTTTTTTTTTTTTTTGGTTTGAGGATTATTCTCTACTTTCATATCTAGGCTATTGATGTTCAATGAATGTAGAGCTGGGAATTAAACGATTTCTTTGAGGCCATCTGGTCCAGCTCCCCCTACCTGTGGTGGATATAAACTTTAGCAAGTTTAATATAACTGACTCTGACAGTTTTTTATTGGCAGAGAAAGTGAGCGATCTCGCTTCATGCATCATAATGCTTTGTCTGTGTCTGCTGCACAGGGGCCCGGAAGGTCAGAGTTTGGAATCGAGAGTTTGCTCTCCAGTCAACCAGTGAGCCTGTGGCTGGACTGGGACCTGCTCTGGCTTGGAAGTAAGTGGGAGAAGAAACTTTGGGTTTTCTTAGAGAATTTCTTAGAACTGGATTGTGAGCTTCTGGTACCCTCTGAATAGAGGTATTAGCAACATGAAAGGATATTTTTCTCATTTGGATGTCAGTCTGTGTCTTTTGTTCTTTTAGAAGTCTGAATTGAATTTGAATGGTAGAAGTTCATCACAAGAGATTGTTCTCACAGAACTTTTTCACATTGTTCACACATTGAGCAAGGCTTGGCAGGCCAATATGAAGCCACCACATAAAACAGCAATTGGCACTGAAAAGGGAAGTCACATTCTGAAGGGCTAAGTGAAGCTCTGATGAAAGCCAAGAAGAGAGCTTTTTTCTACAGCACAGCCCCCCATGTGAAAGGCTCTGCTTGCTGAGGAATCTGCAGGCTAGATTTGGGCCTAGTTCACCTTGGTTCCACACAGTCACTGCCTGCCTGGATGTGTGGCCACCTGATCTGGCTTAGCAATATCTTCTCAGCCATAGCCGCCCCTGTTGTATGCAAAGCCTTAGGTCTTTAAGTTGTAGACACCTTTTTTCCCCACCAGTTTTTGGCAGTTAGACGCTAGAGCAAAAAGACATATATCTGAATAAAAACTGTAAGCAGTTATAGACAAGATGAGGTGATAGAGTAACATCAAGAAATCTTAATGGAACCTATCTAAGCATAGGATATTTGCTGAAGTAATTGAAGGAGAAACAGTTTTTCTTGCAAAAAAGATATATTTACTTTTTAAGTACAAGAACTGGGGTGTAGGCCAAGAGGTGTGGGAGATGAGAGTATTCACTAGAGACAGAGTGGGGAACAGAATAGGTGAAGCTACTGACATATACCTGCTGAGGGGGGAGCAGCAGGCGGTACTGGAGAGATATGCTGCAACTTGTGTGTGTGTGAGCTCCGTGACGGGATGGAAGTCAAGCCACAGTGGCTGGCGACAATTTGATAGGGCAGAGAACTTGATAGCATGCCACCAGGGAGGCCTTGTATTTCACTGCTTGCAAGACATGATGTATTTAAGAGATGGAGTGATTTAAATTGGTAGTTTAAAAAAGTCATCTAAGTGCAGTCTAAATCCATGAGGCTGGGCAGTGGAGGCATTGAAAATGAGAAGAGGCATTCTTTCCTCTTGGCAGGTGGGCTAGTGACTGTTGCCAGGAGACACGAAGTATTACTTCTTTGAATAGATGGGGGGATTGGTTTTGGCTGACAAAATTGTTTCTCTGAATTTGATCTTGTTTGTAGCTAGCCTTATGAACTCTCAGATGTCTTAACTCTGGGTTTGCTTTAAGGCCCTCAGGCAGTTTGATTGCATCTACGCAAGATAAGCCCAACCAACAGGATGTTGTTTTTTTTGAAAAAAATGGACTTCTCCATGGGCAGTTTACACTTCCTTTCCTCAAAGATGAAGTAAAGGTAGGTCCTGAAATTACCTCACCATCAAATTCTGAGGACTTGCCACAGCAATAGAGAGGGCTTATATTTGACATGGTTGTATAAATAGAAACTGCAGAGTAGAAGGTGATAAAAATAGTGACTTGTAATTGGAAATTTTTTAATGAAAAAGAAGTTTTCTTAAGCTTAGAAAACTTACGAAAAAGAAATGGCATTCCTTCTCCATCCTGGGTAAAACAGAGAAAATAGAAATGTTAGTTTTTATTATTTTATTTTGCAAAAATGTAATTCTTCCAATGATGAAGGTATTTTTCATTAAGAACACTTAAATCTGAAACAGTTTATGTATCATTATGAATCCTGTTGGAGCAGAAACACGTCAAATGGTGCTCCTTAATTAAGTAGAATGTAAACATGGTAAAAGCGGAGAGGGTTGAATGAACTCCTATGCCCCTATTACTTATTTTCAACAGGCATATTACAGAATTATTATTTTTTTAAGATTTATTTATTTATGCATACAGGAACTGGTTTGTAGGACAGAGGTGTAGAAGGTGAGAAGATTTACCAGAGACAGAGTGGGGAGCAGGACAGGCAGATCTACTGAAATACACTGCTGAGGGAAAGAGTGGGTGAGGCAGGAGAGGTCTGCTGTGCCATGTGGATCAGCTCCCTGGCCGGGGATTGAACTTGTTCTGTGGCTGTGGAGAGCTTCATAGTGCTGAGACTTAACCCTTGTGCCACCAGGAGGCCCTTGTGGAATTACTATCTAGAGGTTATTTTTAGAAATCATATTTTTAATGTTAACTTCTAAAAGTTAAGAACTTTTTTATTTATATCACCGCCATTATAATCTCACCAAAATTGGCAAAAATTCCTTTGTATTACCAATACCCATTCATAGTCCAGTTTCCCTGATTCCCTTAAAATGTAACCTTGTATTTGTGGTTAAGTCTATTGAGTCTTTTTTAGTATTTAAAGATAATGAACTTTTAAGTCATTTACATATAATGGCATGTTTAGTAGAATTACTCAATGATTGTGGGTTAGTAATTTACCACTAGGGTTGAAATCAAATAATGAGATTTTCTTCATTTGTGAGAACAGGAGATTCAGGCATCATAAAGATTTTCAAGTAAATACATAGCTCATGGCTAATAACAGACTTTTTTCCACTACCAGGTGAATGACCTGCTATGGAATGCAGATTCTACTGTGCTTGCAGTGTGGGTGGAAGACCTTCAGAAGGAAGAAAATTCCACTCTAAAATCCTATGGTAAGATGGCTTTAGTTTCTCAACCTTATGTTCCATAAAACGTACTTGATAGGAGAGGTGGAGTTACCCTCATTTCTTCCACTTAGTCTTTAACAAAGTCAAAGGTAGCTTTGGGGTTGAGTGGTTAGTGGTTAGGTGTTGATTACTTATGGTTTTCAGTCATGTTTCTTTAGAAAAATAGAACCAGGATAAGCTGGTAGACTGGAAATTCAGGTAAGAGTTGATGTTAATAGTAAGTCTGAAAGCTGTAGGACAGACCTGCCCACTTGTGGACCCTGAGAAGGGATTCTGTGTTACACAGTCTTGAGGCAGATTCCTTCTTCTCTGGGAGACCTGAGTGTTTGCTTTTAAGGCCTTGAACTCCTTGGATGAGACACATCCACATTATGGGGATAATCTGCTTTACTTAAAATCAACTGACTAGATGTTAATCACATCTTCAGAATATGTTCTAGCACCATCCTTACTAGTGTTTGACCAACATGGCATCATAGCCTAGCTCTGTAAAATTAGCCACCACTAATAACGTTATCAGTATTGTGTCTTCCTGGATGGTGTCATTGCAGGAAATTGAAATACCAGTCAGGGGAATACCATGTAAGTAAAAGAAAAATTGGATTACATATAAGAATATAGCTTTCAAATTGTGTAAATATGTATTTTTCACTGTGTATATATGTATATATAAATGTGAAAACACTAGGGGAAAAGATAAAGCGATAAAAAGGAGAGGATAATTATGTTCCTCTATATAAAGACTGAAATGTTCTTGTTTCTAAGTTTTTATGTGTATTTCTTATTATAACTAAAATATACAATTATGATACGTGTTTTCTCCTAAAATTTTCATGGGAAAAAACTCACTAAACAGTTCTATGGTCTTCTTTCACATGATAATGAAGTTTGAAGATGAAGGCTAAAATAAGCATGCACTTATGATCTTATCGATGTTTGATATTTTATCACTGTGAAAAATTATCTTTTAACAATTATTGTTAATATTGGATTAGTGAAGAGTTTGAGTTAGATGAGCCTTTTGAGAAAGTAAAGATTGCCCCCCAGAAGGTGATATGAAGACTGGTCCTCTGGCCTCTCACTGCCTTTCTTTCATTTTCGCTGCAGTTCAGCTCTGGACTGTTGGAAATTATCACTGGTACCTCAAACAAAGTCTGCCTTTCAACACCTGCGGGAAGAGCAAGATCGTGTCTCTGATGTGGGACCCAGTAACGCCGCACCGGCTGCATGTTCTCTGTCAGGGCTGGCACTACCTCTGCTATGACTGGCACTGGACCACTGATAGGAGCGCAGGAGAAAACGGCAGTGACATGGCCAACGTGGCTGTCATTGATGGAAGTAAGCAGCTGGCAGGTGTTCTGAGGCCGTAGGGTCCGAGACCAGCACTGACAAGGTGGTGGTGGGACTAAAACACTGGGGAATTTTTATTTGGTCACTTGGCTTATTTTACTTATTCGTGTTTGACGGGACATGTACTCTCGTAGGTCCTCCTCCTCACCCCTCTCCCCATCCTCCAGTTCCTGTCATGCTGCATCCATGGCCTTCACATATTTGCTTGTTTGATCTTTGAAAACGTTAGAAGTTTTGACCTTGGGGGGCGAGGAAGATAGGTGGTCTTGCAGTGTTGAGCGTGTTAATTTTTTCCCCTTGACATAGATTTACATATACTTCTGCCTGTGCTGCTTTGTCTTCTGTTAATACTAGCCAGTAGTCACAGGCCACTTTCTCATGAGGACCAGGCTAGTGTTTTACAATAGGGTTGAAAGGCTTTTTTTTTTTTTAATTGAGAGCAAGGAAACTGGAGAGAGCAGTCACCTAAATATAGTTTACTTATTGCTCATAACATAAAGGAAAACTTGCTTCTGAAATTGTAATGTGAGTTGGTGTACTAGTTCATGGTCTGTGTAGTGGCCATATACTGATAGTCATTTCTGTTCTATATGGAAGACTTAATCATATATACAAACCCAACATTGGGAAGTGCTGTAAGGATTTCACAGGGATTGATTTCCTTGCTTTAGTCTAGTTGGTGGCAGGCCCAGGTTTACAAGAACTCTGCCCTCTTGGCTTTCTTCTCTTATCCCTGGCTCCTGCAGCCTCCAAGTGCAGGTGAGAGTAGCCAGATGCAGGCAGATGCTAACATTCTTCCCTTATGTTGTGTGTAAGTTGTATTCATGAGAAAAACCCCAGAATTTTCCTTAAAAATTACTGTGTATCTTCTACCACCGTATTGAGTTAGTGTTCTTGTGCTACCAAGATGCTTTAGAAATGGTCATCGATTCGTCTAAACCATCTGCTCTTCTCTCTCACGGCAGACCGGGTGTTGGTGACAGTCTTCCGGCAGGCTGTGGTTCCACCTCCCATGAGCTCCTACCAACTGCTGCTCCCGCATCCTGTCAATCAAGTCACGTTCTCAGCACACCCTGAAAAGAGTAACGACCTTGCTGTCCTAGATGCCAGTAACCAGATTTCTGTTTATAAATGTGGTATGTTCAAAAACTGTTACCAAGTGTTGTGAATCAGGTCCCTTTCTGCACAAGAGCAAATGATAGTTTGGTGTTTTCTAGTCACCAACTTCTTAATACCTAATTTTGAAGTTCATACTTAACATCATCATCATTATGATAATTATTTGGCTTTTTGGGTGATTTGTTTTGGGTTTTATTTTCCAAGCCTGTTCTGGCTTATAAGAACAACTTATTTTATTAAACCTGAGTGAGTTACTTAAGAATAACAGCACTGGAAATAGCATATTATTTTAATGCATCTTTAATGTTTTGCAGTTTTCATTACCTTTGCCTGTACTTGTAGGGGAAAACATACTGTGTAGACCTAAGAGTTAGGTACTGTCCACAGTGTCAGGCAGCCACTGGGGACCTAGAACATAACCCCTGCAGATGGGGGGAGAGGGACAACTGGGCAACCCGATTTAAACTGCTTTTTTTTCTAATAGTGTAAAAAAATGTGTTCACAGGTCAGTCAGAAAATGCAAAAGAAAACTGCTTTTTAAAGTACTCTTTAAACTTTTTAAAGTACCCTCCCACTCCACCTCCATCCTTACCTTTGTAGAATTTGTATTCTAGCTGGGGAGAAAGATTTTAAATAAAAAATCTACCACATGGCAAGTGCGATAGAGGTAGAGATTAATAAGAGAGCTTGATCGGGGCCTGCTGGAAGAAGGTGGCTTTGGTCTTTAGGGTGGTCAGGGAAGTTTTCTCTTTGGAGACAGCATTTAGGCAGAGACCTGGTTGGAATCATGGAAATCTGCAAATACCTGGGGTAGGAATGTTCCATGCAACTGCCAGTTGCCAGTTGTGCTTAGCAAGCAGTCAGGGATTAGCATGCTGCAACAGAGCAGATGAGGGGAAACTGGGGGAAGGGGTCAGAAAGCAGAGACTTTGCTGGCTTCAAAGATTCGAGTAAGATGTCTGGTGTTTACTCTACATCCTCAGAAAGCACTGAAGAGCTTGCAGCAGAGGAGGGCAGTACTCTGAGTTTTTAAAAGAATCGTACTGGCTTCTGTGTGTTGGATGAACTTGGTCAAGAATGGAGACTGCCCTTTAATTGAGTGTTTAGGATGTCAGAGGAGCCCAGGTTGTTGGGAGGTGGCTGTGGACAATGGCATAGCCCGGGGGGAGAGGGCAGTGCTTCTGCCTGGCCTTGCTGAGGCGCTGAGGTTGCTGCTGCTGCGTTCATGGTAAGGGAAAAGTAAGTATGGGTTAAGCCTAAAAGGCAAGCAGAGACTTAAAGAAGAGGTTGGAGCTTGGCTGTTACCCAGAATCTTTATTTGTGAAGTGATTGGCCTTCTAGGATGCAGGACCCCATAACCTTAGCATCAAGAAAAATGTTTATAGTCTGTTATGATGGTATTTGTTTTTCTGTTTTCTAGGTGATGGTCCAAGTGTGGATCCTACAGTGAAACTGGGAGCTGTGGGTGGAAATTCATTTCAAGTCTCCCTGAGAATGCCTCATCTGGAAAAGAGATACAGGTAGGGAGCCACCTTGGGGGCGTCAATCACTTTGTGCCTCCGAATGCCACCTCTCCTGAGGGTTGACTGGAGAGTCCAGGTGTAAGCTGGGCAGCACCCACGCCTGCGGCAGCCCTTATTTCTTAGGAAAAATCCTGTGCGAAAGCTGGACATACAGATAGTAGGATGACAGAGTTGCATATACTCACATAAATGAGGGTGTTTGGGTTGTGAACATATGGCTAACCTAGTGCACCTCTTTCTGTGTCTCATCCTGTACTTGGAACTTCTGGGTGCTGTGCATTTGATAAGCCTTTAATTCTTAAACAGTTCTGCTCTGCCTTCTGGGAACAGTTATTTCTAAAATAATAAGAATAATTGATAATTGATAGAATAAATAAATGAATTTAATACATAAGGTTACTTAACATTATGCCTGCAGTGTAGCTAACAAATATATTTAAGTATCCAACCTGTGTGTGGTTTTGGTCGGCCTTCATAATGCTGAGTGGTTTTCAAAGAACATATGCATAAATTATTTCATTACACGGAATTGAGACGACTAGAGGACAGAGATGTGAAGCAAACTAGGAAGTTGAGAATATCTTACATTTATATACATGGAGTGAATAGCTCCATGCCACTAAGAGGTGATGTCATGAAAAACAAGAATACTTACTTGGATCCTTGAAGAGCAAGATTTAGGATTGGCAGAGGACTGGGGACATTGAGGGTGGTGGGCAGAAGAGGCGGGGACACTGCTGCTTGGGCTGAGTGCACTGGAGCGAGTGAGACTTCGGGGAGGTGGGTTAGGTGGAAGATTGGGGTAGTGACCCAGCCTCTTGGGCGAGCCCTGGGAACTTGCTGCTTGGCTCAAGGGCAGGAAGTAGCCAGTATTTTCTGTGTGAGGTGGCAAAAATGTGTCTTGGTCTGCAGAACTAATGCTTAAGAAGGAAGGCAGAGAGGCCATCTTTCTAGTTATTTTGATGTGTGGTCCTTAGGGAAGGACCCATTCTACTGAGCCTGCATATTCCTGGAGTCTGGTTTGAATGCTGGTCAGTGGTGACAGTGGAAAAAATTGGGGGGTTCTTAGTGCAGGACCTGATCCAGGGGAGCCTCTTGCGTGGTCAGTTTCCTGAAGTGCTCTCTTCAGGTCGGGAGTATGTGAAACTTAATTTTAAATAAATGGAAAACATTCTATGTACAAAGTGTCTCATTCTTTCATTCAGGAAAATCTATACTTTCTTTTTTGTTGTTAAAGATTTATTTATTTATGCATATAGAACTGGGGTATAGACCAGAGGTGCAGGGGCAGAGAGAGGATTCACCAGAGACAGAGTGGGGAGCAGAACAGGTAGATGGTACACTGCTGAGGGAAACAGTGGGCAGGTCAGGAGAGCTCTGCCAGCCATGTGGTCTCCTCCGGGGCAGGCAGGGATCAAACTCATGCAGAAGTGACTTTAGCTTCTTAGTGCTGTGCTTTAACTTGCCCCGCCACCAGGGAGGGCCAAAAATCTCATACATTTTAGAGTTTTGTTCATATCTTGGATGTTCTTCAATATTTAAAACAGAATTCAGTCTGAGAATGATGAAGATGAGGAAGTAAACCCTCTGAAGTTTGGCCTCCTGACCTGGATCCAAAAAGATGTGTTCCTGGCTGTAAGCCACAGCCCAGCCGGCCCACAGTCCATCATTCACCATCTGACTGTGGCCCCTTCTGAGATGGAGGATGAGCAAGGACAGCTCAGTATTAGGTATGACAATCCCAGTGTTCCCCACATTAATGCACAGAGGCAGTCACCCTTTTAAGAGCATAGCACTGTGTTGCGGAAAATAGTGTCAGGTGACCAAAAAATTGCTTTATCTTGGCTTGGGCTTGCAAATGTTTATAGTGTGTGTGTGTTTGTGTGTGAATAGTATGTGTAATATACGTGTTATGTATATTATAAACGTACATACTGTGTATGTTATAAATATTATATATTATCTTTGTGTGTGTATATACATAATACATATTGTAATAAGCAGTATAATTTCAAAGGAAAATTGTTTTTTTGTTTTGTAAAATCAGTAAGATGTCACCACTGAGAAAAATGTTCTTTTCACAAAATGCCTTCTCCTCTTTTTATTTTCTGAACTTCTGTCAGTTCATCTGTGATAGTGGATGGAATCGTGATCAGTCTGTGTTACAGTTCTGAGAACAAGTCAGTAGTGTTGCAACTGGTTGATGGCAAGATACTTAAGTATCTTTGGGGTGAGTATCAGAATTTCAGGGAAGTGTGTTTACAGCTTATGTAAATGTTTAATTCTTAAGAATATGTGGGCCTCCCTGGTGGCGTAGGGGTTAAGTCTCAGCACTGTCAAAGTTATGACCTGAGTTTGATCCAGGGAGGTGACCCACATGGCGCAGCTGACCTTTCCTGTCTTACCCACTGCTCCTCTCAGCAGTGTATTTCATTCAGTACATCTGCCTGTTCTATTCCACACTCTGTCTTTGGTATGCCCTCTCATCCCCCATATCTCTTGCCTTCACCCCAGTTTTTGTATGTGTAAATAAATAAAAATAAGTCTTAAAAAAAAATGTACTTGTGAGCACTTATCAATACCTCATTGATTCTTAGGTCTTTTAACCACCCTGGCAAAATCCTGAGCAATAGGGTAGAATTGGCAGGTGGCATCCTACCTCTTTTTTTTGTAATAAACTATAGTAACCTAGTGAGTTTCCAAAATACATTTGGAAGGTTCTCCAAAATGCATGGAAAGTGTTTTAGCAAGTGCTGATGTTGACAGTTTTTTGCACAGAGCAAGTAGCTTTTATAAACTTCCTTTGCTGATTCTGCAGAGCCATCGTCTCCGACTGTTGAGCCATGGAAGAATCCTGCTGGATTTCCTGTTCGATTTCCTTATCCATGCACACAGACTGAGTTGGCCACTATTGGAGGAGAGGTAAATTAACACAGGGCAGAAAATTTGTCAGAGCAGTAACCCAGATACTGATATGATTGTACTTGATAAAAGAGTGTGAGCTTTGGAGGTGAATCTGGGGCTCCACAACCAGGTATCATAGGCAACAAGGAGAAGTTAAAAGACTTTTTTGAGCCTCAACTTTTTCCATCTATAAAACAAGGTTAAGAGATTGCCAGTCTGTAGTGGTTATTCTTTTCCTTGGAGGTTATGCATTCAATCTTGGAACAGTACAGGTGGCCTGCTTCTCTCCCCAGGTGGGCAGAACTGTCAAGTCAGTCTTACTAAATTCCATGGAGACCAGAGAAATACAATTGAAAACAGCCTTTATTCCTCAAATGTTAGGGTACTGTAAGTGTGGTGGCTACAAAGCCAGTCAGCTGGCTAATCCTTGTGTTTTGGAATTAACAATCTCTCAGTGTAGGTATAATTATCCTCTCTCATAGGAGAACAAAGGAAATAAATTAGGTGTCATATAGAAAATTCTGAGGTGGGTGGAGGCTAGTTAGAGGATGGTAGCTATGAGGATAGGGAGACCTACTTTCCGTGACCCTGGAAAGCTACATGAGGTGGTTGTGTATGTGCTGAGATGTGAAGGAAAAGAAAATTTTAAGAAGGGATAGTATTCCGGAAGGAGGAATATTACACAAGTTGAAGTTAGGAATAACTCAGCTGACTCAAGAAGTAGAATGGAAACAATGTGGCTGGTGATGGAGGAGAGATAACAGTTTGGATCTGTTCATTTGCTCGAGATTGGGAAATTATTGCTGATTTTTAGTCAGTGAAATAATGTGATCACTTCATGGTTAGAACGGTTCTTCTAATTGCCTAGTGGAGAATAGGTTGGAAAGGGATGAAATCAGAAGTGACAGCGTGGAGGTGGTGAGGGGCTGGAAGGTGACATAATGACACCACCTACTGGTAGAGTGAAGACATCCTACTGCATTTTGTACTGGACTAAAGAATCCTACATGTCTATACTGAGTCCTGGCTATAAGATTTTGGATGTAAAATCACAGGGCAATAGAAATGCATAATAACAAAGTTAGGTTTAACAGTTTGGTTAGACTTGCTTGTAATTTCATTTATATATCTTTGCAGGAATGCATCCTTGGTCTGTCTGACAGATGCCGCTTTTTCATCAATGACACTGAGGTATCAAGGCTGGGCTTGGTGCTGGACTTTTTCACAGTTGGCTTCATGTATCAAAGCTAACTTTCCCCTTTACCCCCCTTGCCTTGTAGATCGCTTCTGATATCACATCATTTGCAGTGTATGATGAGTTTTTATTGGTGACGACGCATTCCCATACCTGCCTTTGTTTCTGCCTGAGAGATGCTTCATTTAAAAGTAAGTTTTAATTGTATGACATAGAAAATAGCCCCTCTTCTTGTGAAGTCTTGATGACTTTGTAAGTTCTTCACGGGACTTTTTATCATGGACTCCTACACTGGGGAAAACCTTTCGAGTTCATTTTCTTATTCTCTATTTTCAAATAGTTAAGTTAAATAATGCAACACCAGTTAGCAAAGACTTCCAGAGAAGGAGGTTTTCCTTGAACAGAACGCCCTACAGTTAACAAAAATTTCATTAAATAACCTATGAATACTTTACTTGAACTTGCCTGCCCTGTAAAATCCACACTAGCAGTGTGCTTTAACTTCTTAATGACCTTTCTCACTGTGGACACTCTCCGTTGTGTCTCTGAAGGACCCCACCCCAAGGTTTTAAGAAGGAAATTGTCTCCATTTTTCCTACTATTCCACTCACCTTTCTGCTCCTTTTAAGTGTGAATTTTTCTTTAATTAGCAACCAAAAAAGGCCAGTTTCTTCCTTCTCAGTTGGAAGCAGGGGCTCAAATACTAATATGCCTAAAGTGTCCTGAGAATGGTAAGAAATAGACAAGCTACCGATGCTTTTAAAATCAGTTGCCAAGTTCTGCGTGTGGTAGTGGAACAGGACTTGTTAGAGAGGGTAAGTGGCAGGGCTGGCATGATCTTACCGGAAAAGTTAATGGCCGTGAGGTTGATGGGAGAGCAGTGCCCAGCTGTCCATTGCTCTCTTCTGCTTAGATTCTGTGCAGCTGCAGCTGCAGTGGAGGCAGGGAGGCTTGGCATGACGGAGCCTCTGGATGCCCAGTTGAGGTGTCTTTAGCATTGCAGGCAGGTCTGAGCAGCAGCCACGCGTCTCACGGGGAAACTCTGCGGAAGGTGGAGAGGGGCTCACGCATTGTCGCTGTTGTGCCCCAGGACACCAAGCTGATATTGCAGGTAAGCAGGGCGGCAGCGCTAATTCTCCTGTCGTTGGGCTGCAAGCACCAAGCAGAATTCTTAGGGGTTGTATTTTAGACTCTTACATTTCTTACAAGCCTTGCTAAGTTGTCTGTTAGCTTTATATAAAGGGATACTAATGGAGCTGTGGCCCAGTAGTGCTGAAAGGGAAACTTCTCTTGAAAGTCAAATTAAGTGTTGAATAATAGAGAAATATGAAATATTGTGCTCCAGGTGTGCTCACTGTACAGAGTTGTTGTGGTTTGCAGACTTAAAAGTTGTGTATTCTGGGTACTGAAATTTTTTCTGTTCAGAGAGGGAAGAACACAAGAGTCTAGGTGATGGTTCACAGACATCTTGGTGGTAATTTTATGGGGATAATACCTGAGAGGAGAAATCAATCACTGTACAAAATGAACAACTATGTAAAAATAAATGAGAAAATAATATTTTTCCTGGTTAATTAAAAACATTGATTTGATTTACTTTAAGATGCCAAGAGGAAACTTGGAAGTTGTTCATCATCGAGCTCTGGTTTTAGCTCAGATTCGCAAATGGTTGGACAAGTAAGTATCATGTACATGAATAGTTACTTTGTTATGGCGTATGTGTGAAGATTATATATATTTTATTAAAATCTCTAAAGCCAAAGTCTGAAGAAATGTCTGAAAAGTTGTTGCAGGTGTCTTCAATCAGATTCTCAAATGCGTTTTTCCCCCCCTTAACTTTGATTTTAGTACCATAAATAATAGGCATTTCTAGCAGAGAGAATCGTAAGCTCATCATATAAAATGGGACCTCTTAGCCTAAGGAAACCCATGTGGGCTTTAGGTAGTCTGTGAGCCCAGGGAAATTGTGCCCCAAACTCTTTCGGTGTGTACTTACCCAGATGTGTACTTAGCGAAGCTTGCGGCAGATTTTCAGAGGGACCTAGGACCCAGAAATGCCTGAACCACTGTTGTGAAGGAAACGACCATTTGTTTGAATCTGTTTTGTACTAAAAAAAACTTTATTCTAAACGTACGCCATTCGCAGCTACATGGATGGAGCTAGAGGGATTAGGTTTAGTGAAATAAACCAGAAGGAAAAGAAAAATACCAGATTATTTCATTTATAGGAGGAATATAAAGGAACCGAATAAGGGATCAGGAAAAAAATTACAATAATAATTAATACATTTAAAAAACAATATTAACAAGCAACTATAAGTCAGAGACATTTTGCAAGGGATGGAGAAGAAGAAGAATCAAAACAGGGACGAGAAGAGCACAACGGGCTCTGGTGGTGGTTCACGGGTGATTTTGGTGGTGGGAATTTCCAGGGACTATGCCTGAGAGGAGAAAGCATACAAGCATGCATGTATAAAAATGAACAATTGATTTTATATTACTATGTATATTCCATATATATAAATTTTAAAACTTACTGAAAAAAAAAAAATAAGTGGACCTCAGCTCCATTTGGGTTGTAATCCCATTATAATTGGTTTGTATTATTATGATAATATTCTGGGCCCCGGGGTTGGTTTTGTAAAAATGCCTTTTCTATCCATTCTGTATCTCTTCACAGACTTATGTTTAAAGAAGCGTTTGAATGCATGAGAAAACTGAGAATTAATCTCAATCTAATTCATGATCATAATCCTAAGGTGATTTTCTAAGTCATTTGTTTTTGGAAGAGTATTACCTTTGCTTATTTTAGACTTGAACTAAAATGATTTGAAGTCTCTCTCTTTTTTTTTGGGTAGGTGTTTCTTGAAAATGTGGAAACCTTCATAAGACAGATAGATTCTGTAAATCATATCAATTTGTTTTTCACAGAATTGAAGTAAGTATTTTAAATAATTCATGAGCATCACATGCACAGTTTTCTTTCCTTTAGTTAAGGAAATCAAATAGTTAAAGTTGATGAAAAATTACTGCTCACTATTATTTTAACCATGATAACGCTTATTCCACTTGTGGAATTTTTTTCTTTTCCCATTCTGAAAACAGCCTGTTTAAAACTAAGACCTTAAAATATGTTAGTCAGAATTATTATTGGATATTACTTTTGAATGTACTTATGAAACTTTTCCTTATGAAATTGATGACTTTTTAATGAAATAAAATTTTAATGTAGAAAAGAGAATTGCCTAATGAGCATCCTATGATTTACCTTGATTCTTGAGGTCACGTTTTCTTACAGTTGCATTATCTTGTCCATCTGCCCACCCATCATTCACCGTTTCTAGACATTTCAAAAAAGTAGTGTTCATCAGTCCACCTTACCTAGCAGTACTTAACCTGGCATAGTGTTGAGTAGAGTGTTCTTTGTACACAGGGCCTCCAGAGGTGAGATTTACTTTGAAACACATAGATCCTAACTGTCCCACAGTGAGTTTTGATAGATGTCAGCTTCCTTGTATCCTGTCTCTGTCAAGATGGAGAGCTTTTCCTTCATCTCAGTTGCCCCCAGTCCATTTTTCTTGACCTGTCATCAAAACTTCTTTGAAAACTGGCACCTAAGTAGGAGATCACTGATGTATACCTTACAGATTTAAACATAATACATTATCTTGGTAGATTAACTTCTGAACTGATAAGTCTTCCTGCCCTTAACACAAATTCGGAGTGATGGAGATCATTACATCCCTTTCTTCCAAATGAACACTAGTCTGTGAGTCTGGCCTTTCCTTCTCTTGAACCACTGTCTGAGCCCAGTGGCTAAAGACTGTGGTAGTCTTGAAGTAATCTGACATTTTAATCCATAACAGAAATTTGGATTTTGAACTAGCCTTTTCTCTTTATGCTTTTTCTTTTCCTTTACTAAGGGCAGATGTAGCAAATCCCCAGCCAGAGGCATGTGAATGGTTTTGAGAGCCTAGCATGTTCCAACTTTTAAGAGGACCCCCTCTTCCCAGCATTCCTTCTCATTCCCATCCTCTAGCTACCCACCTTTTTGAGATTTTCACTGTAGATCACTTTTGCCTGTTCAGCAGCTTTACATAAGCAGAATTATGCAGCATTTACTCTCTGTGTAAAGCTTTACCATACTACCTTGAGATTCATCCATGTTTTTGCACATGTCACAACTTGGTTCTTTTTCTCGTTCCCTAGAGCACTGTGGTATAAACATACTACAGCTTGTTTATCATTCCCCTATTGAAGGGCACCTAGGCTGTACCCATTCTTCGCTATGTGAATAAAATATCTTTAAACATTACTAACAGTTCTCTTGGGACATTTTTCACTTCTCAGTTTTTCTCTATTTTCTAACAATTATGAATATCTTTTACAGAAATACTTTCCAGATGCCATTTTAATATTTTTTCTCAGCATACCTTGGGTATGTTAGTAGTTTCATAGCTAGGACACATGTTTGGCTAGTCATCTTTTAATGCATATCTGCTCTTAGGGAGGAGGACGTCACAAAGACCATGTACCCTCCACTCATCACCAGCGCGGTCCAGCTGTCCAGAGATTCTGACAAGAAAAAGGTAGACCTTGTCTGTGATGCTATGAGAGCAGCCATGGAGAACATAAATCCTCACAAGTACGTGTGCTCTTGTTAATGGGCTAACTTTTGCCTAGCTCTTCCTTACTGTGTTTATCCTTTTCATTCTGGTGTTTTTCATTTATCACCTCAGGTACTGCCTATCAATACTCACCTCTCATGTGAAGAAAACAACCCCAGAACTGGAAATTGTGCTGCAGAAAGTCCATGAGCTTCAAGGTAGAGACAGTTCATGGAGAGCGTTTAACAGGGCTTGACAGTCACTGGTCTCCCAGTCATCTAGAGATTGTTCTGACCAGGTCCAGTGCCACGTCACAAGTTAAGACATGGGCCTTTGGGCTGCCATTTTAAGGCTTGTGTCCATTTTTTGGAGTGCTGCCATGCAATGTGTGTACAAAAGAGTCAAAGTATATATTCCTCTGTAGCCACTTCTGAGGGGGGAAATTTCTTTGCCTTCTGTAGTTCTGTTATTAGGTGAGTAGGTTTTTTTCCCTAAGCGAATTTGTTCTGTTGTGTTCTGTTACACACTGACAGGAAATGTGCCATCCGTTCCTGATGCTGTGAGTGCTGAAGAGGCCTTGAAGTATTTGCTGCTTCTAGTAGATGTTAATGAATTATATGATCATTCTCTTGGGACCTATGACTTTGATTTGGTCCTCATGGTAGCAGAGAAGTCACAGAAGGTGGGTGGAGTTACTGTTTGACAACTTCTTGGTTCTTGCATATATAATCGTGGCAGCATGAAGTTCTTCATAGTGTTACGTTGTGAGTACAGACCTGGAGGCAGAGCTGTGTCTCCAGGACCCACATTTTAAGCTTCACTGTTGTGGTGATTCTGGGCTTATCACAGTGTTTTGACTGATAACTGGTGAAGTGAAGTTAGTTAGTTTTGGGATATGCAGGTGCGTGAGCAAATTCTCCTCTTATAAAGATAATATAACACATGATTCATTCTCCACTCTAGTTCCTTAATCATTGGAGTTTTTTTCTCCAGTGGGTAGTGGGAACACAACAAATAGAATAGTTTATGTCTTGTCCCACTTTAGCATGCTACAGTCAAAAACTTTTGAGCTCTATGTATTTTTAACTCTTTTCATCTTTTTTTTTTCTTAGCCCCATTCATTGTTCCTCTATCATTTGACTCCTCTTGTCAGAGTAATCTTTCCAGAAAAGGAAAATTTGGTTCTTCATTCTTCTGAAAATCACTTGTGTGCTCCTTAAGGCCTCTCTGATAAAGTTCAGATGCTGCAGTATTGCCTAAAATCCCTCTCCTGGTCTGGTCTCTTCTCATCTCTGGATATTATCCCTTTTTCTCTCCTGTGGGCCAGGCCATGCTTTGTGGACCCACCTGCTATATCCTCTTATAGGTAGCATTACTTCTGCCCCTCCTGGATTTCTAGTTCTTCACCCCGTTCACTTGGTTAATTCTCACTCATGTGGGCTGGTGGGTGCCAGGGTAGCATGGTACCAGTAAGCCATTCTTCCCTCCCTGCCTAATACCCGGCCTGGAGGAGATAGCTTTCACACGCGCTTCCACCTCATGTCTTTCCCACGAGGTTGTATGCTCCCTGAAGTTCAGCGCTATGTTGCAGTGTTTGTTGATGCAGTGTTTTCACTCATAAAGATCCTCTACACTACAGGCAGGCAGATTTAATTATTTACTGTCTTGATTTCTCCCTGTATTGTTTTTACATTTAATCATCCTATCTGTTTGGTGAAACTGTATTAAGAGCAAGAAACATCTTTTTAGGAAGAAATCATTTTTCTTATGACCATAGCACAGAGCAGGAGATGACCAGTGCCAATAAAGGCTTGGTCGGCAGGGTATCAGAGCTTTGTGTTCAACTCACTATAATTTATTTTCATTTTCACACTTCATCTTTGCAACTGGCAAGCACGAAACGTCATGAAAACAGCTCCAACCACCATGATTTGCATTTCCAGGAGAGACTTAGTTGAAGCTGTTGAAATCTTATTAGCCTATGAAATAAGTGGCTACTGTAAGACTTATAGTTGTTACTGTTTTGAATAAAAACCGTTGATATCTGTATATTAATGCCTTTTTGTTAAAACCTGTCACTTGATTGTAATATTTAGTCATATATTAACATAGTACATATTTTTGAATTATGTAGTTTACTGCTACAATTACGTGTTAAGTATTTATTTTCAGTATATGTTTTTATAAGTTACTATTTCAAGTAATAAAGTTCCTTTTTTTAAATTTAAGGATCCCAAAGAATATCTTCCATTTCTTAATACACTTAAGAAAATGGAAAGTAATTATCAAAGGTTCACCATAGATAAGTACTTGAAACGATATGAAAAAGCCATTGGCCATCTCAGCAAATGTGGTAAGTGTAAGGATTAGTGTGTGTTTTTCTCTTTCAAATTGTCTTTGGGGCAGGGCAAGCTATAAATTAAAAGAATAAGTTAACTTAGACACAAGCTTATTTTAATTTCGACTCTTGAAAAATTTAACAATATGCCCACCTAATTCATCATATATTCTGAAAAGCTGAGGGTGCAGCGAACGACTTAATGGACTGAGACACTAGCTCAGATCCCTTCGGGTTAAGAATGATCACCCCCTAAATTCACTTACTGAAGTGAATTGAAAATTCTGAAAATTGAAAAGAGGTGGATAATTCACTCTTCCCATGGTATTTGCAACCTTCGACTGTGGAGCGGAAACCTGCCCTTCTGGAGCCACATGGCGCCACCTGCAGTGCCGCGGCCTGTTAGCTGGTGTGGTGGCGCCCAGCAAGCGCAGCACAGGTGGCTCTACTCACATGGCCCTGCCCTGAGCTGGAGCCTCTGACGACAGCAGCTGCGATTCTTGTCCTGACTGAGAAGTCCCCCGAGTGCTTGTTAAGCATAGGGCTTCTGACTCCCTTAGAGAATTCACTGGGCTGCTCTGGAATAGGAGGTGGCAGGTGTGTGTGCATAGCGTTAATAAGCCGTCTGGCAAGTCTCATTAGGGAGACTGAGGACACACCAGGCTGCATGGTCTTTTACCGGGGGTGGTGTGAAAATTCCTTTTAAATGGAACTCTCATCTGTGCTCATATCTAAAAATCTGCAAGGGTACTCTTTGAAATTCAAGTTCCTAGATTTTATTCTCCTGAGACTCTGATTGTATGGGTCTTTAAAAGGCACCCACTGATTTTGTTTAGGCACCATTGGTAGCAATAAAACCCATTGTGCCTCTAAAATTGTAAGCTCATGTTTGTATGAATCTTATTTGGCAGGACCTGAATACTTCCCAGAATGCTTGAACTTAATAAAAGATAAAAACTTGTATAACGAAGCTCTGAAGTTGTATGTGCCAGGCTCGCAGCAATACAAGGTATGTGGTGTGTGGAATGATGTTCTCCTATTTTGCTTTGTGTGATAGTTGGAGAGAGTCCTTTACACTGAGTCTGTACTTTAGTTTAAAGGTTTATCTCCAAACTACTTAGTCTCATTTTGAACTTCTCTTTTGGGGAAATGCCCCTGACCTTTTCATGTTCTGGAGAAATTGCCCACCCAGGTCTGAAATCAAGGAGTCGCCCTGACTCCTCATTGGATATACTGTGGCACCGTCCTTGTGGCGTTCCTGCTTTTACCCCAGCCGTCCAGGCCTGCCTTCCTACCGTGAGACTGGGCATCCTGAGGAGTGTAGATTTTTCCCATATATTTTAGGCTAAAGGGGTGACGTTTGTTTATTGAAGTAAGCATCAGTTTTGCTCTTCCTATAATGCCAAATACTTTACTTATAAACTAAATGCATTGAACCTCCCTGGTGGCACAGAGATTAAAGTCTCAGTGCTGGCAGCCTATCACTAACCACTATAGCGTGAGTTCGAGCCCCAGCTAGGGAGCTGACCCACATTGCTCAGCTGACCTCTTCTTTCTTTCCCTCTGCTCCCCTTAGCAGTGTATTTTAGTAAATCTACTTCTTCTGCTCCCCACTCTGTCTCTGGTGAATCCTTTTACCCCCACACTTCTGGCCTACAGCCCAGTTCTTGCATGCATAAATAAAAATGAATCTTTTAAAAAAGAAAAGAAAATAAACGCATTATAACAAGCTGATAGGGTGTTGTACACAATTTATAAACGAGGAAGTAACTTACCTGGAGCTGTGAGGTGGCCAAACTGGGAATGGAGCCTGGCTGACCAGGGAGCACCTTCAACCACCACTCACCAGTGACGTCATTGCCGCCATTTTAAATTGTGCACAAATTGCACCCATCTGTGATCTGGCCCGTCTGCTTCTTTAGCACCAGATCTTTTTGCTGGCCTCTAGCTTCCCATCCCCTTAGCCCCACTTGTCCTTCGAAGCTTTCAGGACTCTTCTGCCAGAAAGCTGTCCCAAGCAGATGCTCAACATTGAGTCCCTTGTTCTCAGTGACTGCATTTATCACAGTGCTGGTTTACAGTCCTGTCTTCCCTGGGGTTGTGAGCTCCCGAAGGGAAAGGGGAGGCACGCTCTCGTATTCCACTCTGAGTCCCGGCTGACACTGCGCTGGGAGAGTGCACTGCTCGGCCGCTGGCTCCCTCTGTGCTCTCATGTGCATCTTCTGTTCCTCTCTGCTGCTGTCATACCGTCTTCTTGTTTTTCTTTCCTGTGTATTCCCTGCACCCTCCTGCCGGATGGGCACAGTACCAACTGTGCTCCCTGCCTGAAATACTCTCTCCCAACCTTTTGAAATGGCTCTCTGAGTTCTCCCTTGCCCTATACCCCTCCCTGCCTTTGTGTTGAGTATAGTGTGTTTGTAAGTCTATTCTCTATCACAGCACAGCAGGAACTTGGTGTTACTTGTTATTGCATGGATTTCTTGCGTGTTACTTATTTTTTATTGCTACATTATTCCCACGCCCAAAATAGTGCATATGTAGGTACCAGGTCATTACTAGTTGAATGATAAATGGCATATCCTCAGAACTGTTTTGAAGGGAAGAACATTTGAACTCACTGATCAGCCACAGGATATTCCTAAGAAATTCAAAAGAATTTCAAGTGTAGTGACCGAGGCAGCCCACACTGGCGAGTTAAAGAAATGGCCATCACCTTTCCTCGCTGACCCTTGGCTTTTTGTCCCAGGATGTCAGCATCGCTTATGGGGAACACCTGCTTCAGGAACACCACCGTGAGCCCGCCGGGCTTGTGTTTGCTCGCTGTGGTGCCCATGAGAAAGCCCTCGACGCCTTTCTGGCATGTGGCAGCTGGCAGCAAGCTCTGTGTGTGGCTTCCCGACTTAATTTAAACCAAGACCAGCTGGCTGGCCTCAGCAGAACTCTTGCAGGTAAACACCACCTTTTAGGTTCTCCAAAATGAGACCTTATCCAAAGGTTTTTTGTTTGTTTCTATGGCAAATACATTTTTCTGTTTCTTTTGCAGATAAATTTAGGACCTTACCTTAAAATAGTCTCATATTTAGTAATAAAAATTAATTAGAATGTTTTCTTAAGTAAAGGTTAAGTTGTACCAAGAATCCAAAATGCACTGGCATGCCAAAGTAGTTTGCTTCTCTCACAAGGACTTCCAGATGGCTGGTGCTGGAGTTTCTGCATATTTGCAAGCGGATTTCTCTGCCTTTCCAGGCCAGAGACATGGAGAACGCTTGCCTTAGATTGGGAATGATCTAGAAGTTGTACTGTCACATGCCCTGTATGAAAGGGATGCCCTTCCTGAGTAGACCATAGTAGCAATTGTCAGAAAGGGTATCAAAGAAAAGTCCAAAGCATAAAGACATTGAAAGCATAAGCAGTTTAAATGCTTCAGGGTCTAGAGATTATCAGACCATGAGACAAAGCTGTACCAGAGTGGAGTGGGAAGAGGTTAGGACTGGGGAGGGTGGGGGGCTGGGGAGAAAGGAACGGGGGCTCTGCTCCTCTCTGTGCGTTGAAGTAAATGATGGATATGCCCACCTCCCTCCAAATGTAAGTAAGTATATATCCTCTGTAGTTATTTGAAATACTCCTTTTTCCTTGGGATTACAAAAATGTCTAAGACCACTATTTTTTTTCTGGTGTTTCCTGGTTATTAGGTCTATAGACTATTCTGTGAACCCTGCCAGTTTTCAAGCTGAACTCTTGTGCAGGTGTAGAGAATTCCTTATTTTGAACCTTTTAATTATTCAGTCTGTTTAGTTGTAAGTTGAGAAACTTAATGTTCATGGTAGTTACACCTTCCAGTTCTGTTTTTAGGGTCTATTTGTTATCTTCTCTTTCTACTCAGTTTGCCTGTGCCATGTATTATGAGGAAGCACATCTAGTTCAGTATTTAAAAAGGTAATGAAAAAAAGATAAAAGATAAATAAGTGGGGAAGGCTGTAATCAAAGATTTTTCGCGAAATGTTACATAAGATAGTCACTTCATGTGCACAAACCCAAAGAAAGAGAAAAAAACATAGAGAAACTAAATGTTTGAGTAGTGGGCATGTACATAGGGCAGAGTCCTGTTTTTGAAGGGCTAACATTGCCTTGGAGCTAGCCTGAGGTGGGAGGCATGGGTCTGCCAGCCCCTTGCTGAGCCCTGGTGTCTGTGAATCTCTTACTGTGAGTACCCATCCTGTCCCCGCTGAGTGATGCTAGGATTTGCAGATACTGCATGACCCCAGGTATAAGCCAACTACCTCCACCTAGTGCTCAAGCAAAGAAACAGCAGTCTCTTGCTGTGGAAGAAATGGAATAGATGTTTTCATGATGGATTTTTGACTATACAAGATTTTTACATCTTGTGCCAAACTTAGGTTGTAGTTCCCATTTAAGTGTCTGTATATTCCTGTCTATTTCCTTTACGGAAATTCACAAATATATAATTTACTATATAATAAAGATATACTAATGAAGACTTCAGCTGAAGAATGTTTGTTTAAATTTGTTTTACCCTATGCTTCACAAACAAACTTGACTCAAAGATGTTTTGTGTGTGTGTGTGTGTGCTACCTTTTACTATCCTATGGAACAGTTTTAGGGAGCGCTTTTGAAAATACTGTTGTAGAGCAGTTTGATTTGAATGTGCACTCTGTAGTGCTCAGTTCCAGTTTTTAGGAGCCCTTAATGGTAACTTAAACCATTTCAACTCGAGTTTGGTCGTACTGCTCGCAGTGAGCCAGTGGTGGTCCAATGCTCATTTCCTTCGCAGGGAAGCTAGTTGAACAGAGGAAGTACCAGGATGCAGCCACGGTTCTGGAACAGTATGCCCAGGTAAACATAGTCCTCCCCTCCCAAACCCTTCTGTTGTGCAAGGACTCCCCACTTTCACCTTAGTGATTGTGAAAAGGAAAGGAATTACGGATAATTATGAAGTCCTGAGAAATATTTGCCCTGGAGGTTTTCCATCTTGCCAACTTGACTTGAAAATGTAAATTGAGTGCAGCACTCAATAATTTAAATTCTGTGAAGTAGAATGCCAAAGAGCTCAATGGAATTCATTTAATGCTTTGCCCTTTGTAGAAAGTATTAAATTGAATCCCAAGGTTGGTATACTTTTTATTTTAGCTTGCCATGGCAGAAACAGTGAGAAAACACATTCTGAAATATAGTGACCAGAAAGTACTTTGGGTTGATACTCCTGTTCTCTCTGTTGGCAATGTCTCTTTTACTACAGCAACTTGATGGGTTACAGTTTTTGACCAAATCATAAAGATGTACTAATCATAAAGATGCCTGTACTAACTTTTGAATGAATGATAGGATTTATGAAAATATTAAGCTATGCCCTGATCCAGGCTGCTGACAGGACACAGATGCTTGGGTTGACTAGGCATTCTAGAGTTTGGACCTATGATGACAGAGTGTTTTTTACATTTGTAAGTAATGGCCATGTTTTCAGAACATAATTATGCTTTTAAAATACTTCAGTGCATTTTATGTAATTAGAAGAAAAAAAAAAGAAAAACAAAAATTTAGAACAACAAAACCTGGGAAAAAAAAAAGGGAACGAAGGGAAAAAAATAAACCGGAACAACCAAAGAAATAAATAAAAGGGGGAAAAGCCAACCAAAACTAACGAACAAAAGGGTAGGCATGATGCTGAGAACTGGGACTGTAAGGATAGACTGGAAAGATCCTCAGCGGTTGTTCTGGGAGCTGTCTTTCGCTTTGCTATGGTGACACCTAACACACTCGCTTCATTGATTTGTTGTCCTCCTTGATATTTCCCTGTCAGGATTATGAAGAAGCTGTGCTCTTGCTGTTAGAAGGAGCTGCTTGGGAAGAAGCTCTGAGACTGGTAAGAGAACTTCAGAAGTAGCCCCTCTGATAAGTGCTAAGCACATTTCGAACTTCTGGGGCAAGGTCAGGTGAAGTGCCTTGTCCTCTGAGGCTAGCAAAATCGTGCAGCTTCTCAGCCTGAGGAGCAGCAGTGTTTTTACTGCCATTTAAAATTTTATTCTTGATAATATATGGAACTAGTCCTCTACCTGTGAAATATTTTTGCTTTTTACTGAAGCGAGTGGGTGGCTGCTCGTTGCTTGTGCCTCAGGAAGCGTGCCAGTCGCATGTGAACGTGCTCCATTTCTTCCCAAGGGTCTTGACTCTCCAGTAACCTGGAAGTTTTTCCACCTAAAATAATTGTTTTTTTCTTCTAGGTACACAAATACAATAGACTGGACATTATAGAGACCAATATAAAGCCTTCCGTTTTAGAAGGTGAGGGCTACATTTTGGGTAGCATTTTTCACTTGGAAGTATAGAGATGGGGAGGAGAGAAAGTTTCAAAGAGAAACACTCTTGATTGCATTCTTTGATCATGTTTTACGTGGAGTCAACCTTAATTCTCCTCTAGGTATAACATTTAATTCTGATCAGCATTTTTTTAAAACAGGCTAAACTGAAATATTTGAATGTTACAAATCTGATATGATTAAGAATCTTTGTAATCTTAAAATAGTTGATCAGTAACTTGAATGTGAGCTATATATACAATAGTGTTCCATCATTGATGAATTTCCTACATTTAATATTTACATTGTGGTTATGTTAGTAATAACCATATTCTTAAGAAATAGATGAAGTATTTAGGAGGGAAGCAACACATCTCTCACAAAAATAATTTATGTAAAGAGACAGAGGAAGCCAAAAATACAACAAAATATCAGAATTTTAATAAATCTGGAGAAAGGGTATGTACCTTTGCTACTTTTACGTAGGCTTGAACTTTTTCAAAATAAAAATTGAAAGATGACCCTTTGCAAATGAAGAACAAATGTTACCAGTACTATGTGTTTTTGTGGTTACAGTGACAAACAAAACGAAAAATGATATTGGTTTGACTTACAGCAGTCTTTGGGAGTGTGGTGGGCAGGGGTTGTTAAGCTTTGCCCTCTTAGCACAGTTTACTCTCTAAGTAATTTTGGCCTTTCCAGCGCTGTGATTTACATCCTTGCCCTGTGTGCTCATTTTTATGCCATCCTGATTAAAACGGAGAGGGTGCTTTGGTCTCATGCACTTCAGGTATCCCTAACTGGATACTGAGAGCCATTTTCTGGCCCTGCAACAGTCCAGCTAACCTGCTCTTACTGGGTTTTTTCTATAGTGAGAAGCTAGAAAAATGCTGATACTTCATCTATACCGGCTAATATTTATGCCAGGAAGCTTTTCAGTGACTACCCTCCTATTTATTAGAGCTTCCTGAGTACTTTCTTTTTGCCAGTCCTGTTTTAGGTTACACATCACCTCTTAAAGCGATTTGGTAACTTTAGTGATAAAAAGTATTTTAGGATGATGTTGATGAACTCTTTAAGATATCAGCTCTCAATATGTTTTATTCTAGAACAATATAGGTTAATCTCATTTAGAAAAATAATCTTGCTGGGAAAACTTAACAACCTTTTTCGTTTGTTAAATTCTATTCCTGATCTCCTGGTAGTTTTTTTCTTCTTGCTTAAAAATCATGCTCAAATTATTTTCCATCTGAATCCCCAGCCCAGAAGAATTATATGACATTTTTGGATTCTCAGACAGCCATATTCAGTCGTCATAAAAACCGTTTATTAGTGGTTAGAGAGCTCAAGGAGCAAGCACAGCAGAATCCAGGTGAGTGTCTGCCTGAAGACTGTTGAGTTTTGTTAGGAGGTGGAGGTGGGGTGGGTGGGGGAAACAATGGCGCCCACGATATCTTATCTGTATACTGTGCTTTCTGCAATATGATTGCTGTGTTATGGGGGAGCCTGAGAGCTCTGTGAAACTCCAGAGAGGCTCTGTATGTCTGTGTTTGTGTGTTGGTGAGAATTCTGCCCCCCGTTACCCCTCATCACCACCCTACCAGAAACTGAGTTTTGTATTTGACAAATTGAGTTTCCTCATTTCCAAAGTCTCCTTTGCTTAAAAAAGAAAAGTGAACCTTGATACTAGTGTCGTGGAGACAGTAATAATAATTGTATTTCATAGTGTTTTACGTCAAGATCAACTTTGTAGTAATTTTCATCCATCCTTGGATATGCCCTAATTAAGTGTAGCCCACTTATCCCACTGAACATAAACCCATCTTAATAGGGAGTTTTAATTCCTCACCTGGTTCTTCTTTTTCAGATGATGAGGTTCTCCATTGTCAGGAATCCGACCTCTTCTCTGAGACAAGCAGTGTCGTGAGTGGCTGTGATACGAGTAGCAAATATTCCCATAGTAACTCCAGGATATCAGCGTATGTATCACTCAGCACGGTGATGGTGGCCTGGGTATCTAAGAAAGTCACCACAGGTGGAAGGGTTTTCCACTAGAACAGTGAGCGGGAGTGGGAGGACTTCTGCAAGACCACTTGGAAATTGGCCAGCATGTCCACGAGAGGACAGCTGGTGCTGATGTGGCCTCTGCTGCAGCATTGCCGCCTGCATCTGCCTGTGCCCCACCAGACACTGGTGCTGGCTGCTCGTGATACATAATGACTGATTTTATACATGAAATAGTAAGTTTATAGAGAAAACTCTTTCATTCTTTTCAGTTCAAAATCAGAAGAAGTCCTAATTATAAAATAAGTCATCACATTGTTTTGCAGCGTGACCTTTGGTTGGAAGCTTGTATTGGCTGCTCATGTGCTGGGTGCAGTGGATGCCACAGCCCTGAAGGAAAAAGGAGTTAGGAGATGTTTTATTGCTCGAGGGACAATGCAGGCTTGTTTATTACAGCTGAATTATGCTCCAGGCACAGTCCTGTCAGAACCAGTAGTGCTCCTTTCCTGGCATCACTCTCATTTCTGACAGGCGATCATCCAAGAATCGTCGCAAAGCAGAGCGCAAGAAGCACAGCCTCAAAGAAGGGAGTCCGCTGGAGGACCTGGCCCTTTTGGAGGCACTGAATGAAGTGGTCCAAGGCACTGAGAAGCTGAAAGGTATTTTCTCAACATGGACAATGATTCTTGTCCATAAAACATAGTAAGTAGACAATGCAGCCAGAATTCAATGAATAAATAAGACACAGTTTCCCCAACTTAAGGAAAGCCAAAAACTTTGCAGGAAGCATCATTTCAGGGCACACTCTCCTCCTCCCTCAGCTGGTGTTCTAGAA